CGTGGCTGCGCTTTTCTAGGCCTCTTGCCAAGCCAGCAAGGGCGTGGAAGGATTGCAAGCATCATTGGTCATAGGCCCTTGAGAATGAAGAGCGTCCGCTGCACTTCCTCCACATGTGCGGATCCTAGCGCGTTTTGAGGCTAGAAGCGCTCGCAGTGAGCGTTTTTCTTCCACCAAGTCACAAGGCTGCGCTTGTCTAGGCCTCTTGCCAAGCCAGCAAGGGCGTGGAAGGGTTGCGAGCATCATTGGTCATCGGCCCTTGAGAATGAAGAGTGCCCGCTGCACTTCCTCCACATGTGCGGATCCTAGCGCGGTTTGAGGCTAGAAGCGCTCGCAGTGAGCGTTTTTCTTCCACCAGGTCACAAGGCTGCGCTTTTCTAAGCCTCTTACCAAGCCAGCAAGGGCGTGGAAGGGTTGCGAGCATCATTGGTCATCGGCCCTTGAGAATGAAGAGCGCCCGCTGCACTTCCTCCACATGTGCGGATCCTAGCGCGTTTTGAGGCTAGAAGCGCTCGTTCTGAGCGTTTTTCTTCTACCAGGTCATGTGGCTGCGCTTGTCTGGGCCTCTTGCCAAGCCAGCAAGGGCGTGGAAAGGTTGCGAGCATCATTGGTCATCGGCCCTTGAGAATGAAGAGCGCCCGCTGCACTTCCTGCACATGTGCGGATCCTAACGCGTTTTGAGGCTAGAAGCGCTCGTTCTGAGCGTTTTTCTTCTACCAGGTCACGTGGTTGCGCTTGTCTAGGCCTCTTGCCAAGCCAGCAAGGGCGTGGAAGGGTTGCGAGCATCATTGGTCATCGGCCCTTGAGAATGAAGAGCACCCGCTGCACTTCCTCCACATGTGCGGATCCTAGCGCGTTTTGAGGCTAGAAGCGCTCGCAGTGAGCGTTTTTCTTCCACCAGGTCACAAGGCTGCGCTTCTCTAAGCCTTTTGCCAAGCTAGCAAGGGCGTGGAAGGGTTGCGAGCATCGTTGGTCATCGGCCCTTGAGAATGAAGAGCGCCCGCTGCACTTCCTCAACATGTGCGGATCCTAGCGCGTTTTGAGGCTAGAAGCGCTCGCAGTGAGTGTTTTTCTTCCACCAGGTCACGTGGCTGCGCTTGTCTAGGCCTTTTGCCAAGCCAGCAAGGGCGTGGAAGGTTTGCGAGCATCATTGGTCATCGGCCCTTGAGAATGAAGAGCGCCCGCTGCACTTCCTCCACATGTGCGGATCCTAGCGCGTTTTGAGGCTAGAAGCGCTCGTTCGGAGCGTTTTTCTTCTCCTAGGTCACATGGCTGCACTTGTCTAGGCCTCTTGCCAAGCTAGCAAGGGCGTGGAAGGGTTGCGAGCATCATTGGTCATCGGCCCTTGAGAATGAAGAGCGCCCGCTGCACTTCCTCCACATGTGCGGATCCTAGCGTGTTTTGAGGCTAGAAGCGCTCGTTCTGAGCGTTTTTCTTCTACCAGGTCATGTGGCTGCGCTTGTCTAGGCCTCTTGCCAAGCCAGCAAGGACGTGGAAGGGTTGCGAGCATCATTGGTCATCGGCCCTTGAGAATGAAGAGCGCCCGCTGCACTTCCTCCACATGTGCGGATCCTAGCGCGTTTTGAACATGGACAAGAACCAAGACGTAAAGGCTCTAATAGGTGTATTTGAACGTGGACCACTCGAATATGCAAGAACAATGTTCAGGTTGTTGAACGCTTTTCCCTACTCCTATAGGGGTCTATACGCTCTCTGGACGTTTGTCGGCAAAAACGGCCGAAATCATAGGCGCCGAACTTTTCTTTGCGCGAGAACCAAGCCGAAAAGGCTCTAATAGGTGTATTTGAACATGGTCCACTCGAATATGCAATAACAATTAGGTTGTTGAACGCTTTTCCCTACGCTATAGGGATCCGTGTGCTCTCTGGGTGTTTGTCGGCAAAAACGGCCGAAATCATAGGCGCCGAACTTTTCTTTGCGCGAGAACCAAGCCGGCTAAAAGGTGTATTTAAACGTGGGCCATTCGAACATGCTACAACAAACAGGTTGTTGAATGCTTTTCCCTACGTCTTTAGGGATCAATGCGCTCTCTGGGCGTTTGTCGGCAAAAACGGCCGAAATCATAGGCGCCGAACTTTTCTTTGCGCGAGAACCAAGCCAAAAAGGCTCTAATAGGTGTATTTGAACGTGGACCACTCGAATATGCAAGAACAATGTTCAGGTTGTTGAACGCTTTTCCCTACGCCTATAGGGGTCTATACACTCTCTGGACGTTTGTCGGCAAAAACGGCCGAAATCATAGGCGCCGAACTTTTCTTTGCGCGAGAACCAAGCCGAAAAGGCTCTAATAGGTGTATTTGAACATGGTCCACTCAAATATGCAATAAAAATTAGGTTGTTGAATGCTTTTCCCTACGCCTATAGGGATCCGTGCGCTCGCTGGGCGTTTGTCGGCAAAAACGGCCGAAATCATAGGCGCCGAACTTTTCTTTGCGCGAGAACCAAGCCGAGGAGGCTCTAAAAGGTGTATTTTAACGTGGGCCATTCGAACATGCTACAACAAACAGGTTGTTGAATGCTTTTCCCTACGCCTTTAGGGATCAATGCGCTCTCTGGGCGTTTGTCGGCAAAAACGGCCGAAATCATAGGCGCCGAACTTTTCTTTGCGCGAGAACCAAGCCGTCAAGGCTCTAATAGGTGTATTTGAACGTGGGCCACTCGAATATGCAATAACAATCAGGTTGTTAAATGCTTTTCCCTACGCCTATAGGGATCCATGCGCTCTCTGGGCGTATGTCGGCAAAAACGGCCGAAATCATAGGCGCCGAACTTTTCGTTGCTCTAGAACCAAGCCAAAAAGGCTCTAATAGGTGTATTTGAACGTGGGCCACTCGAATATGCAACAACATTCAGGTTGTTGAACGCTTTTCCCTACGCTTTTAGGGATCCTTGCGCTCTCAGGGCGTTTGTCGGCAAAAACGGTTGAAATCATATGCGCCGAACTTTTCGTTGCGCGAGAACCAAGCGGAGAAGGCTCTAATAGGTGGATTTGAACGTGGGCCATTCGAATATGCAATAACAATCAGGTTTTTGAACGCTTATCCCTACGCCTATATGGATCCATGCGCTCTCTGAGCGAATGTCGGCAAAAACGGCGAAAATCATAGGCGCCGAACTTTTCTTTGCACAAGAACCAAGCCGAAAAGGCTCTAGAATGTGTATTTGAACATGGGCCACTCGATTATGCAACAACAATCAGATTGTTGAATCATTTTCCCTACGCTTATAAGAATTCACGCGCTCTCTGAGCATTTGTCAGCAAAAAACGACCGAAATCATAAGCGCTGCACTTTTCTTTGCGCAAGAACCAAGCCGAAAATGCTTTAATAGGTGTATTTAAATATGGGCCACTCGAATATTCAATAAAATTCAGGTTGTTGAATGCTTTTCTCTACACCTATAGGGATCTATGCCCTGTACCTGATGACGTGGCGAGCATAATTCGGAGGTATCCCGAAATTTTCGCGGATGACCTGCCTGATGGGCTGCCACCTCAACGTGATTATCTTTCCTGCCGACGCGTGCCTGATGTGGACGACCTTTCTTAAATAGGGTGTAGTGTAAGGAATTTTCCTAATTCCTTACTGAGGCACTCTGTGCGCGTACAATTCCAACTTTCGGAATTCAGGCTCGGTCCGACGACCTCGCCTGCCGAACGTCCCTCGCGTAGCTTTTAGGTTCCCCAACCCGAAACCTGTACCCAACCATCTCGCGACTCCGCGACCTCGGCCTAGCTAGCATTGCTATATTAGTCCTAGGTCTCGTTGTTTGCTCAGTAGTTGTAATCACTTCCGCGATATTGCATTCTGCGCACTCTTCTTTCGTACAACTCATAACAGGCAGGCTCCCTTGATGTATGTAAATGTATGTAAATAGTTGTCATGGTGTAGCTAACATGACCCTCTAGATTATGTCTTCACGCCTGACACGCGTCTGTGGTGGTCGAGGCGCTCGAGAATGGCGGGAAGAACCGAAACGGAAACTGCCTCGCTTTCTTGGCCCTTAAAATGAGAGTGGCAGACCCCGCTAAGCCCCTTGGACAAGCAGACTGCTTTCCGAAATTCGCATGCTGCTAGCGAACCTGGCAATGGAATACGACAACGACATCTATTTCGCTAGCTGACGGTCGCCGTTTCCGGGCGGGCTAAACTCAACCACAACATTGCAAGTCGGTCATCCTTTGGTGTCACTTCCATTTTCCAGCGAATCATGTCCCTCTGAATTAGCTGCACGTTCCGTCAATTAAGCCTGGTGTGAGGGCCATGCTGTTTTCCGGGCAGGCTGTTACGTCACGACCGTCAGTGACTAGCTGATGTCAGCTCAAACCCACCGAGCCAACCGTTAGACCTAGTAAACTCCGCGGCGCAAAGCATGACTACAGTAAACCCATCAGAGTTTCTCCTGACATTTGCTCTTGGCTGCTACAGAGAATAACCAGCACTCAAAATCTCAATTCGATGTATCACGGTTGTGTTGGATACGATCCACTCCAAAGCGATTATGCGCTAATACCGTGTTCAACCGTGACGAAACCTATTCAACCCCATTGGGGTTCCTGGGTTCTGGTCCGTATTTTCCTTCTCCAATGACCTCCAAATCTCCTCTCATAATCTATGAAGCACCTCTCAATCTTCCTCATTTTATCTTTCAAACTTTCCGTCATTATCTACTGACCTCACCTATCCATCATCCACCTCCTCCCTCCGGCCGCTCTTTTATCACCATCGCATCGACCCTAGCCAGCTTCCAGCATTAACTAGTAGGAATGACTTCATTATATATAAAATGCTTTCCAGAGAGCAGCTAGAGTCGCCTTCTGCGGGATGGCTCTCTACACCTCGTGAAGTTCCTCAAAGCTCTCTTTCGCCGATCTCACACAGGCTTTTGTTGAAACAGCAAGTCGCAAGAGCTCTGTTTTGATCGCTTCTTACAATTCTGTCTTTCAAGTCACCTAGTAGTAAGAGGTATCTCGCGTCCGTATGAAGGAGCGTTCGCTTACGCTCACGCGCTTGGTCTTGGTTCTCGCGCTTAGGGTTAAAACGTTCCCGATTCGGGAACGGAAAGCTGTTAGAAAATACTATTGTCGTGAACTATTTTCTGACTCCGTATTCTTATCAGTTACTTTCCGAGTCAACGAGAGTAGTTTAATTGTCAAGTAGCAATGGACGGTTACAACCAACACTCTGGTCAGCAGCAATACCAGCCTCCTCAGCAGCAGCAACAGTCTCAGCAATACCAGCAGCAGCAGCAGCCGCAGCAACAACAGATGGCGTATCAGCAGCAACCCCAGCAACAGCAGCCGCAGCAGCAGCCGTACATGCAGCAGCAGCAACAACAGCAGTTCCAGCAGCAGCAGCAGCAGCAGCAACCGCAACAACAGAACTGGAACAGCGGGAATGCCTCTTCTGGTCAAGGAATGTCGGAAAACTTTGGCTCTTATCAGGCAAGTCTTCGTGTTTGTTATTCTGTTGTTATTTATACACTGAACAATCCGTGGAACTCTTTCCACTTCTACGTTTGTAACGATTGAAGAAGGCAGCTAGGCATTTTAGCCGCCAGGGAATGCCTCAGTATGTGCCATAAACGGATGTGCAAAAATCGGTTTGTTCTGATGCAACTTCACACAAGATTCGGATTCCCCTGATATGGATTCCGCCATTCCGCTCCGCTCACCACACCCATTTCCGTCGCCTTCCTTTCTCTCGCCTCTCTTCCCTTCCTCTACCCCATTCCCGTTCCTTGGCCACTCTCATGGCGCAACGCCCCGCCAGCCCACTCTAGCAACGGCGGGCCTGCACGGACCCCCACCCCCTTGATGTCGATCTCACCATACCCCTCCGCTCACCTCGCTTTCCCTTTACTTTGCTTTCTCCTCCCCCCTCCTCCCGCCTCTCTCCCAACCCCCCCCTTCCCCCCACCCTTCCCCCTCCCCTCTCCCCACGCTCAGGGCGCAACGCCTGGCCAGCGCATTCTCGCAACGGCGGGCCTCCTCGGCCCCAACCCCCTGATGGGGCCTTCCGCCAAACCTCTTATTCCTTCTTTCTCTTTCCCCCCTCTCCCCTCGCCCCTCCCACACGCTCAGGGCGCAACACCCGGCCAGCGCATTCTCGCAACGGCGGGCCTCCTCGGCCCCATGGGAGTCTCCCCCGTTCCCCCCGGCGCAGCTCCTGGCGCGGGGGGAGCCCCCGGCGCGCCTGCTTCCGCGCAGCAGCAGCAGCCCGCGGACGTGCAGGCGCAGGTGGCGCTGCTGGCGGGCCAATTAGACGACGCCACGTTGCTGCGCCTGCTGCAGCAGCGCGCGGCGCAGGGCTCGTTGCTAACCAGCGTGGCGGCGGGATTCGGTCTCACGGGCGCAGCAGGCGGAGCTCCCCCCGGCGGAGCTCCCGCGGGGGGCATTGGCGGAGGCCCGGGGGGGCCTGGCGGAGGCGCTCCCGCGGGGGCGCCAGGCGCGCAAGGAGTGGCTCCCGCAGGCCCGCGGGGGCCTGCGCCTGGGGGTCCTGGGGGAGTTCCCCCCGGCCAAGGGGGACAGATGCTTGGTCCGCAAGGGGGGGTGGCGCAGGCGGGCGGGGGAGGGGGAGTGGGGCCCGGAATGGGTCTGAAGGTGCCTCAGTTCCGACAGCAGCCACATGTGAGTTTTTTCATTCCACCTTTTGACCAGTACTGAGATGCCTCAAAGCGAGTATTGAGACGTCCCCACCTTTCTGCAGCTACCGCTTCCCCTACCATTTCCATCAATGCCTCGTTCCCCTCCCCTTTCCCCCTGCTGCCTGTTGCACCTCCCACTGCCCCAGTTACTGGTCCCCCTTCCCGTCCCGCCTCTCCGTTTCTCTCTTTCCAGCACTTAACGGACGCGCGTTTAATTCACCTCTCCAACCACCCCACCACTCTCGTCCCCTTCCCTCTTCCCGCTTTCCCTTCCCTTTCCCCCGCTTCCCTCCCCGTTCCCCCCGTTCTTCCCGTCCGTCTTTGCTACTCCCCTCTCTTCTCGTCCGCCCGTCTTTTCGCATTGCCAGGCGCAGGACACCCCGCCAGCCCCAGCATTCAACGGGCTCGTATCAAATCCGCCGCCCATGCAAGCCCAGCAGCACCCCAACTCCGTGCCATCCCAACGTGCTGCCCCCCTGCAGTCCCAGCCACCGCCCCCTATGTCTCACCACGCGCCTTCCCCTCATCCGCAGCAGCACCAGCAGCCGCAGCAGCATCAGCAGCCCCCCCTGCAATCCTCCTCCTCTTTCCACCAGGGTATGTCACAGCCGCCCAGCTCTCTCCCCCAGCCGCACACTCAGATGCAGACAAATCCTGCCGGTGGCGCCGGGGCCCCCTCTCTCATGCCGTCCCAGTCGAGCGCTGGCGCGGGGGGAGTGGGGGGAGGCGCGCAGGGGAGCGGGGGAGCGGGCGGGAGTGCAGGGGGAGGGGGAGGCGGAGGCGGGGGAGGGGGTGGAGGGGGGAAACCGAGGGCAAGGGCGAGACGAGGGCAAGCGACGGACCCTCACAGTATTGCAGAGAGAGTGAGTGAGGGAGGGAGGGAGGGAATAGGAGGGAGGGAAGGAGGGGAGGGAGGGAATGGGAGAGGGAAGGAGTGAGGGAGGAAAGGGGGGAGGGATGGAAGGGGGGAGGGAGGGAAGGGGTGAGAGGGGGGATTTGTGACGACTGCTTCTTTCCTGCACCGCACTGCACCCACTGTTCCCCACTACCTGCCTCGTCCTTCCCGCTCTCTGCCTTCCCCTACGCCCCACCATAGGGCCCCTACTCTCTCAAGAGCGTCCAGCTGCGTAGGGGCCCTTCCCTCTGTCTGCCTTCCAGCTGCGCTGAGAACACAAAGTCATGTCTTTCAAGTGGGGATCTGTTCGATGCGCGCCCTACACGACCTGGTACCCATCTCGAATGCCTCTCCTTATCCACGCTCCTTCTTCCACCAACCCCCCCTCCTTTCCCCCATGCAGCTGCGTCGAGCGCATAGTAGAGAGGATGAGGGCGCTGCAGGACCTGGTGCCCGCTCCACTGTCTCCCCTTTATCCCCGCTCCTCATCCGCGCCCCTTCTTCTATTGCCACGCCCCGCCCCGGCCACCCCACCCCACCCCACCCCACCCCACCCCACCCCACCCCACCCCACCCCACCCCATCCCACCCCACCCCACCATACCCCACCCCATCCCAGCCCATCCTGCAGTTGCGCCGCGAGCGCATAGCAGAGCGCATGAGCGCCCTGCAGGACCTGGTACCCAACTCCAATGCCTCTCACCTCCTTCTTCCCTCCTCCGTGTTTCCCCCCTCATTCATGCAGCTGCGCCGAGAGCGCATAGCAGAGCGCATGCGCGCCCTGCAGGACCTGGTGCCAAACTCGAATCGCGTGGACAAGGCATCGATGCTGGATGACATCATTGATTATGTCAAGTTCCTGCAGCTGCAGGTCAAGGTGGGTCCTTTCCTCTCCCTCCTCCTCCATCCTCCCTCTCACCCGCGCGCCTTCTCTCCCTCGTCGTGTTCCTCCTTCGCTGCTTTCTCTCCGATCGCGTGGACAAGGCATCGATGCTGGATGATATAATCGACTATGTCAAGTTCCTGCAGCTGCAGGTCAAGGTGGGTCCCCCTCGTGGCACGTTCCCTCTGCCTCGCTCTCTTTCTCCCTCCCTCACTCTCCTTCGTCACTCTCACCGTCATTCCGCCTAGCTCCTCTCTCTGAAATCGCGTGGACAAGGCATCAATGCTGGATGATATAAACGACTATGTCAACGTCCCTCCTCTCGCCTTCCAACGTCCCTCCTCTCGCCTTCCAACATCCATCCTCTCGCCTTCCAACATCCATCCTCTCGCCTTCCAACATCCCTCCTCTCGCCTTCCAACATCCCTCCTCTCCCCTTCCAACATCCCTCCTCTCGCCTTCCAACGTCCCGATTCTCTCCTTACCCCTCCTCTCGCCTTCCAACGTCCCGAATCTCTCCTTACCCCTCCTCTCGCCCCCATGCCTCAGGTGCTTAACCTGAACCGCCCGTCCGTCCCACTTCCTCACGCCCTCCCATACCCCTCCCATGCCACAGGTGCTCAATCTGAACCGCCTGGCTGGTCCTGCTGCAGACGCCGTTGTCACTCTCGTTCAGGCTCCTCCGACCGTGCCTTTTATCCCTCCTCTCGCCCTCTGTAACCCCTCATCTCGCTCTCCTTCACTCCTCCTCCCATACCCCTCCCATGCCACAGGTGCTCAATCTGAACCGCCTGGCCGGCCCTGCAGCTGACGCCGTGGTCACTCTGCTTGAACACCTGAACCCCGAGGTATGCAAGTGGTGTGGGGAGGTTTGGTGAGGTGTGGTGAGGTGTGAGGGGCTCGGTAGGTGCTCAATCTGAACCGTCTGGCTGGTCCTGCTGCAGACGCCGTTGTCACTCTGCTTGCTGATCTGAACTCCGAGGTATGCAGGTGGTGTGGGGAGGTGTGGGGAGGTTTGGTGAGGTGTGGTGAGGTGTGGGGGGCTCAGTAGGTGCTCAATCTGAACCGCCTGGCTGGTCCTGCTGCAGACGACGTTGTCACTCTGCTTGCTGATCTGAACCCCGAGGTATGCAGAGGTGTGGGGAGGTTTGTGGGGTGATATGCAGGGGTTTGCGGAGGTGTGGAGGGGTTTGGGGAGTTATGTGGAGGTGTGGGAGACACAAATGGTCTGAGCAAAGGGGGTGGGGACTTTTCCTTCCTTTTTTTTTGTAATGCGCTTCTGACCCGTGCCTGATTCGCTTGTGAACTTCTGTTCGGCCTTCTTGTAATGTGCAGGAAATTGACGACGGCCTTTCGTCGTTTTCTCAGCAGGAGCTTACACTCATGGAGCGCCAGGTGTGTTTTCTAAAGCATGTGAGACAGCAGTGGGTAATCTTATCAACACAGGTGGGTTTGCATGATGGCTAACATGCCACCACAGCATAGAATGGCCGTCCTTCGTGTGTCACTGTCACTGTCTGCCCATATGCCTGCATGTGTACTGCAGGTGGCGTTGCTGATGGAGCAGGATATGGGGGCAGCGATGCAGTACCTGCAGAGCAAGGGGCTGTGTCTCATGCCGTCCTTCTAACGGGTCACTGTCTGCCCATATGCCTGCATGTGTACTGCAGGTGGCGTTGCTGATGGAGCAGGATATGGGGGCAGCGATGCAGTACCTGCAGAGCAAGGGGCTTTGCCTCATGCCGCTGGGGCTGGCTAATATGATGTCTAAGGGGAAAGGGGAAGGTGGGGGGGAGGAGAGGGGTGGTGAGGGGGGTGGTGCAGGGGAGGGAGGAGGAGGAGGAGGAGGAGGAGGAGGAGGGAGGAGGAGGAGGAGGAGGAGGAGGAGGAGGAGGAGGAGGAGGAGGAGGAGGAGGAGGAAAGTGGGGAGGAGGAGGGGAGGGAGGAGGAGGGGGGTGTGATGGGGAGGGCGACATGGATGTGAAGGTTGGCTCTGTACAGATGACTGGCACAGTAGCAGGAGCGGGAGGAGGAGGAGTAGCAGCAGCAGCAGCTCCCACTTCCTCTCCTGCCCTTGCTCCTGCAACCGCAGCGGCACCTGTTTCTCCTGCTGCTGCTGCTGCTGCTGCTGCTGCTGCTGCTGCTGCTGCTGCTGCTGCTGCTGCTGCTGCTGCTGCTGCTGCTTCTGCTTCTGCTTCTGCTGCTGCTGCTGCTGGTGCCAGTGGTGTGGGAGCAGCAGGAGGCACGGGTATGATTGCACCGCCTGGTGCCGGTGATTCGCCTTCTAGGGGGGTTGGAGGGGGCCAAACTGGCTTGCCCGTGCCGACAGCAGCAGGAGCAGTGGCTGTGGCAGGAGGAGCAACAGCACCAGCACTAGCAGGCGCAGCAGGAGCAGGGGCATCAGCAGGGGTAGCAGCAGGTAATGCCTCCGGTTCCCCTGCTTTAGCAGCAAGAGCAGCAGCAGCAGCAGCAGCAGGAGGAGGAGAGGGGGCGTTGGGATCACCATGTGTGAAAATGGAAGAGGTGGAGGAGTGTGGGCCTGAGCGGGCTGCGGGTGGGGGGACTGCAGCAGGAGGAATGGGGGCGGCAGCAGCAGGTGGGGCGGACGCTTTCGGGGGTACTGGGGTGGTAGCAACAGCAGCTAGTGGTGGTGGTGGAGGAGAGAATGAGACTGACCAGAAGACGAGTCCGGTGAAGGGTGGACCAGCAGCAACAGGAGGGCTTAATGGTGGTGCTATGGAGGTTTCTGGGCAGAGCAGTGCAGTGGCAGCAGCAGCTGGTGGTGGTGCAAGGGGTGTGCCCGCTGTTACTGTAGATGCTGGCATATCTGCTATGGAGGGAATCACTACAGCGTCGTGAAAGGGATTTTAGAGGAGAGATGTGATCTGCAAAGTGCGTGTTTCACGGAGGGGTGGTGTGTGGGTGGTTTTCTATTGCGACTTCTTAAGCCGCTCCTAAAGAAGCAAGTTTTCTTAGTGGGTTGCAGACTGGCAGGTGGTGGTGGTGCTGCTACTGGTGTTGCCTCTGCTCCACATACAGGTCACAACTACTAACCAATTCCAGACATATAGGCTGGCACTTGAATAGGACATCATATCGTAATCATAAGTGTGTTGACCCTGTCTTCTTTTTTCCGAATCCACTTTTCAAGCTTCTCTGCTAGGGGCATGTTGGCATTGTTTCAACAACATACTGAAACGTACTCAATTGATTCCAGGGAAGCTAGCATAGATGAGCCCTGTTGGCAATACATGTAAGAGGAGCTTCCAGTAAATCCGGCTGTAGCCCCTTATTGAATTCCATATTCAGCATCTGCATATTCTCTAGTCGTGTTGAAAATGAGGTCTAAAACAGCAATGCCTTTCATTGACAACAAGCTACCTCAAGTCAAGGGCCCCGCACCCACACAAGTTTCACAGCAAAAGAAACAAGAATCCAAGACAACGCGCCTGTCACCTGATCCAAATCTAATACAAGTGGAGGGGGCCCGCGTATAATAGAAAGCCAAGGCTTGGTTGGCAGCATGCCCACCAAGACCCGAGCCTGAAGTCAACCATGCAGCAACTGGTTGATGCGTTCTCCCAACATAGCCACACGTTGTCTGTTCAGCAATTGCACTTCATGCAGTAACAGTCCAGGAGCTGATTTCAGGCTGTCACTGCTTCGGCTGAAATAATTGGTGGATGCAATGCCACGGCCCAACTTTGGTGCAATTATCCGCAACCGGCAGATGTTGCGGGTAAATATGGAGGAGCAGGAGCCATGACGCTGGTGTTCTCATCAGGTAGAGAGTCGAAATTCCATAGGAAGGATGCATACGCGGCCAGGACATAGCTGCAAGGACAGACGGAGGTGAGATAACAAAACGGAGGGAGGTGAGACAACAAAACGGAGGGAGGTGAGCTCAAGCTGATGAGAGTAACTAAATGTAGACGACAAAAGGTTGCAATGACCACAGCATCAGGCCAGTCGGCCAGTGGATCCAGCGTTGCAAATCCTGGGGGTCAGCCAATGGGTGCTTACCAATCCTGCGGTGCAGCGTTGACTGCTCGCTCAAAGAAAATGGAGGCCTTATTCGCATCACCCATGCCTTCCCACAGCAGCTTCGCGTACTGAACCAAGAGTTCCCCGTCATAAGGAGCTTCGGTAATCGCGCGCTCGAAGAGTTTCTCAGCCTCTTCGTGCTCTCCCTTGACCTGGAAAAGGAAGATCCAGAAACAAATTAAGTGCCAGAAACACCAGAAATTGTTTACACAACAACAAAATTCGACATAATTGACGAACAACGAAAAGAACAATGCAACAAGATACTCACCTCGTAAAGAAAACGCGCGAAGTTACGAAGAAGGAGCGGATCTTTCGGGTCCTTGGCCAGAGCGGTGACATAATGAGCTTCCATGGCCGCAATGTCTGCAGCGGTACCAGAAGGCGTGCATGACGCAGAACTAGCTCCGTTTTTCAACTCCCTCCCAGAATTCGGCGTCCCTTGGCAAACAACCGGAAAAGTTTCACCGGCTACGCTGAACGAAGCAGATGACTCAGGTTGCTCGATCCGAGAAACATCCGAGAGGCCGAGATCACGCAACGGTCGAGATCCTTGATCGTTCGGTAGATGCTGGTAGATCTCAGGGTGAGATCCTGCCAACAGCCCTCGCATCTGCATCTCGTCCGCGCCGTTGGTGAAGAATTCCAGACTGGCGTAGTCGTTCTGATTTCCTCTAGAGCTAGGCATGCCGGCTAAGGGCTCCAGGGGAAACAGCGACGGCGTCTTGAAAGGAGGTGATGAAGAGGGGGTGGCTTTGCGTGGAGATCTGGGTAGAGGGGTTGATGGAGGCGAGGAGGGATGCTTGAAGAACGAACCGTCGGATAGTGGGAAAGGCATGGGTGGATGGTCAGAGGGATATGGATTAGGGTTGCGCGCTTCTTGCGAATAGAAGGGCCAACTTCTTCCTTTCCTGCTGCCCTTCTGACGATCCGATGAGTCTGTTAGGGTTCCACTTTGCTGCGAGTGGTTATCCGGGGTGCGGAGCTCAGGAACTGACACGATACGGCGAAACTCGCATTCTTCTTTATGAGATGAGTCCATTTCAGAGACGATAAACAAGCTTCGTGGAGACTGAACAGCTGACGACGAGGAGAATTCGGAAAACCAGGGAGATATGGGTGTTAGCGGCGACGAAGTGTTGCTGCGCTTCCAGGATTGACGGGAGGCTTGATGACCGGCGAGGCCTCCGCGAGGGGAAGCCATGGAGCATTGGAAAGATGGGCTAGCTGAATCCCGGAGTTTATCTGCTTCTCTTCCATTGGTAGATCCCGCGCGAACTGGAGTCAGATGCGGAGCTGAGATGCTTCTTGCAAGCATGGAATCGGCCATGGCTGCCGGATTGAATGGCGAAAAATAAAGATTGCTGAGAAACAAACGTTTATACGGAATATTGAAATAGGGAGCAGCAGCGTTCACTGGATCTTAATCATCGGCCCCGTAAGACTAAATACTCCGCGGCTGACTAGTAACAAAAACAACACCCCAAGAAAGGACGGTTGGAGGCCAGTATCCTCCACAACCCTACTCCAGAATACGAGCAGACACTAAGTTAAAAAACCGGGATAAATGAACGAGGACAGGAGAGGCAGTTATCAGCACAGTAATCGTCAGCAGAACGGCGTCTCGTGAACCGTATTGGCTAGATGACCTCACGTCTTGCCACTGCCTTTATTCCTCCAAGACCCAACTCTGCTCTACTGCTTGGGAGAAACCGACCAACTTCAGGAATTTGGCTGCTCCACTGATGAAGTTCAAGCGCGGTTACCAAAGCTACTGGATAGGTCTGCTGCGCGTGAAAGGAGCACTGTTTGAGTCACTCTTCCTTGCTCATCAACAGTCTCCCTGTTATGAATTGCTCCCCTCCCTCCCCTCCATCTCTTGTCTCTCCCTCTCCTCTCTATCCCTCTCCCGCTGCCTATCTCCACCGCTGATACTTTCTTCCGCGCCACTGGGAGATGTTTTCTGGGCTGGTCCGAACGTTCTTGCTTTCGAGGTTGGGGTTTGGGGAAAATATGCTCCGCGAAACCAGCGTTCCTCCGCCATGTGAGGGATCTTTGGTGGTGGGTTGGGGAGGAGTTCCGCAAAGTCTCCGCCGACGCTGCGCAAGTGCCCCCCAGTGTCCGAACCTTCGACTTCGTGGGTTGCATTGCTGCCCCGACAAAGTCAAAGAAAAGGGAAAGGCGAAAAAAGGACACTGGTGGCTAAATTGAGTCACAATCTACTGACCTCAATTGTTCCCTTTTCGCCTGGGCAAAACCAGTTGCTGCGGTTGTCCATTCGGAACAACGAGAGGCGAGTGCTTCATGCGTGCGGGCGCGGCGACCCCGAAATACCAACGAGAGGCGCGTGCTTCATGTAGTGGGGATGAATAGCCTTCCGAGCGCCAGAAAGTTGGAGCCGTAATCGTGATTCGCCTGATTTCGTCCGCCCATACCCAAAAAAATCCCCCCTTCCGCTCCATCCTCTCCCCCATGCCCCCACCAAATCCCCCCTCCTCGTGGCGGTGCGCAGTGCATATCCATCCAGCATGTCACTCTCCTCGGGATTCAAAGGAGAAGCACCGTTAGAATCCGCACGTGAACCCTGACATCGACGGCTAAGAAAGGGGTTTGAGATTCGACCCAGCAGAATACGCGGCGAAAACCTCCGAGGACCCTGGGGCCCCCGAAGGGGTGGCAGCATCCACCAAGGTTCCACATGAGCTACGGTTTTGAAAGAAAAACATGTACAAGGAATGAAAAATGAATCCATCAATCTACAGTACATACTTGTACTGTAGTTATTTTCCATCATTTTGAAAGGGGGAAAATATGCCACAAGTAACGAACTTGGGACTCGATAACGTAAATGGTACAAAAAAAACGCGTACGGTCACTGTATCGGGTTTCCAGACGGGTTTGGTAAGTGGGGTCACGGATTCAGTCATTAACAACAGGTAAAAAATCACGCGAATGGTCACACATGTAACTCCCGCCAAAAAAACTTGAAACTCAACAAAATTCCCGCTCGCCCCCAACCAATCTGCGAACTTGTAAAAAAAACTAAAACCCAATCGGAATCGGATGCGGTTCGGGAACGGATCAACCCTAAACACCTGGCTAGTTACGTGTTAGGGTTGATTCATCCGAAAATGCACCCAGATTCTTTTTGGGTTTCATTTTGTTTTGGCGGGAATTTCATCTGTGACCATTCGCGTTTTTTTTTACCTGTTGATTGTGACTGATTCCGTGAAACTCTTTATCAGTCGCGTGAAAACACCCTTTGCAGTGACCGTACCCTTTATTTTTTTACCAACTGTGTTATCGAGTCCCATGAAGGTTACGAATGGCATATTTTCCCTTTTGAAAGCGGCCATTTTCAGGTGCATGCCACTCAGTCTAGGAACACTATTCAAGTGCATGCCATGTTATTGGGCAGGTGTGTACATACGCGGCTTAGAAATTTGTTATCGTAAAATTACAGGCTTCATGGCAGACTTTTCATGTTTGGGATGTCTCTTTCCCAATTTATGCACGCCCTAGAAAAATTTGTTGATTTGCCATGCGCAGCGTCCGTCAACCGCGTAAACAGTACAGCTGATCTAGCATTTAAGTTTGTTAAAAAAGAGTTAGGGCGAAGCAGGAATTCGCGTCGAAATCGGGCAACATGCAATGATTGCTTCTGGTAACGTCAGAAAATGCAGTGTCGAGAGCCAACCATTCCGATTTCGATTTGCGTAATCCGGAATCGCATCTATTCTCGACTGTTTGTGCTAATTTTAAACGAATCTTGGGAAGCCTTTAATTTTACGATAACAAATTTCTAAGCCGCGTAAAGTGTACACACCTGCCCAATAACATGGCATGCACTTGAATAGTGTTCCTAGACTGAGTGGCATGCACCTGAAAATGGCCGTTTTGAAAGTGCGATAAAAAGGGAAAAGTAGGAAACGCAAAAACTCCCGTCGCAAGAGCCTTTCCAGCGCCGCAACTGAGCTGAAATCATGATTGCGTCACATGGGCTCACAGCTTACATGCATCTGTTCAAGTTGCACAGATGATTTCCTATCTCCGTATTTCGTGGAGTCGACTGCCCAATAAAAGACGAGCGAGGATGACAAGTTGCATTCTACGCACAGCCAATGGTGGTCATTCCCGCTCGAAAAGATCCTTCCAAATACAGTAACACACGACAAATTATTTATATTTTCGTAAAACAAAAGAAAATCATAAAAGACTGCAACCAAAATTACTGGGAATTGGAGCATAGTAGGCCTCAATCTTTGCAGGAGCTCATGAGAATTAGACTCCAGAGTTCAACCAAAGCCAAAAAAACATATGAGCAGAATTGGACGCTACATCTCCACAACATCTCATAAGGTGGAAATTCAACAATCCCACAAACACACACGACTGCCGGTGTTCATGGATAAATAATGCTACTTTCAGAGCAGAGAAAACGAAGAGACTAAAAACATTTCCTTCCCAACTAACGATAATGGCAGCAGCCAACCAGGTCAGCTGAGCAATTTTACTGCCAGGCAAGCCCATGCTTTGAACTCGCCTGAGCAGTTTTTTTTTCTCCTATTAAGCAGCTGGCAGCTCATCCTCCAAATAGCTGTACTCAAATGTGAACTCTGTCTTGATCCGTTGACACCTGGCAAGAGGCCCACAACCACAGGAATTGCAATTCGCAGAGCGTTAGACAAGATGTCCGGACCGAACACGACCAGATTCTCACAATCAGGGGGGAGGGATGAAGGCGGGGGAACAGAGCAAGGCAGAGGAGGTGGGGGAGGACGGGCTGCTTGTGGTGGCTTTACTCCCAATATCCCCAAAAACGGTCCCAGCAATCTATTGCCCATCCTTTCTCACTCACCATCCGGTCTGGTAGTCACCATGCACGATGTGTCAAAGTACACATAGGTGCCCTGCTCACAGTGCCATCTCTCTCAATCACCCCAACACCAGTCCCCTCTTAACAACTGCATTCCCATGCTCTCACCATCCAGTCTGGTAGTCGTCATGCACGATGTGAAAGTCAAAGTACACATAGGTGCCCTGCTCGTAGTCGTCGGTGGTGAGCTTGGGCTCCTCATGCCGCTGGAACCACGTGTTGTACTTCTTGTGGTAGCGCCACGACTGCTTCTTTAGCTCGCGCGCAGCCAGGTATTGCTGATAGGTGCCCTGGTGGCCAGGGGTGGGGGAACAGGGAGGCGGGGACAAAGGAAGGGGATGGAGAGGGGCAGTGAGGGAGCGAACCATGCGGTAGGCAATACCGCACTGCTCCTATGTGTCAAAGTACACGTAGGTGCCCTGCTCGTAGTCATCGGTGGTGAGCTTGGGCTCCTCGTGCCGCTGGAACCACGTGTTGTACTTCTTGTGGTAGCGCCACGACTGCTTCTTTAGCTCGCGAGCAGCCAGGTATTGTTGGTATGTTCCCTGGTGGGCGAGGATTGGGGAAGGGGGCAGGGATTGGGGAAGGGGGCAGGGATTGGGGAAGGGGGCGGGGATTGGGAACGGTGGGTGGAGGGGCAGGCAGGGAGGGAACCACGTGTTGTACTTCGTGTGGTAGCGCCATGACTGCTTCTTCAGCTCCCTGGCAGCCAGGTAATGCTGATACGTGCCCTGATGGCCAGGGACAGGGGAACGGGGGTTGAAGGGAGGAGGCGGGGGAGGGGCAGGGAGGGTGGGAACCACGAGCCGTACTCCTTGTGGTAGCGCCACAACTGCTTCCCTAGCATCAACTTCTTCAACCACCAGGCGCATAGAAAACTGACACTGGCATCAGCAGTAACCACATCATTACTCGCACTCGTGCACACCTGCGGGTGGTAGAAGACAAACAAGAGCACGCCCACGTCCAGCCGCTCCCACAGCCCTAAAACGGTCACTACCATTTCATACCTTGGTGCAGAGACCAAGCTAGCAGTCCAACCGGTGTATGTGAACTAAACCTGGTCAAAGGCGAAGAAGAGCACGTCCATGACCAGCAGCTCCCACAGCCCTAAAACGGTCACTACCATTTTTGAGTCGACTCAAAGATCGACTCATTTCATACCTTGGTGCAGAGACCAAACTAGCAGTCCAGCCGGTGTATGTAAACTGAAACTGGTCAAAGGCGAAGAAGAGCACGTCCATGTCCAGCGGCTCCCACAGCCCTGGGTGCTTGTCGACAAGTACAGCCCAGCCCAGCCCAGCCCAGCCCAGCCCAGCCCAGCCCAGCCCAGCCCAGCCCAGCCCAGCCCAGCCCAGCCCAGCCCAGCCCAGCCCAGCCCAGCCCAGCCCAGCCCAGCCCAGCCCAGCCCAGCCCAGCCCAGCCCAGCCCAGCCCAGCCCAGCCCAGCCCAGCCCAGCCCAGCCCAGCCCAGCCCAGCCCAGCCCAGCCCAGCCCAGCCCAGCCCAGCCCAGCCCAGCCCAGCCCAGCCCAGCCCAGCCCAGCCCAGCCCAGCACAGCACAGCACAGCCCAGCCCAGCCCAGCCCAATCCAACCCAACCAAACCCAACCATGGTGCTTCTCAAGCATACCTGCTGGTGGTAGAAGGCGAAGAAGAGCACGTCCATATCGAGGCGCTCCCACAGCCCTGGATGCTCCAGCACTGCTGCTGGCGCCTGGGGGTAGCTGGCAGGCGTGATGGCTGGGTTCCTCTGAAGGAGGGGAAAGGTGGGGGGGAGTCGGGAGGGAGAATGGGGGCCAATAGAAACGCCTGTGGGTAGCTGGCAGGCGTGATGGCAGGGTTTCGCTGAGAGGGAAGAAAAGTGGCAGAGGGAGAGGGGGAGGAGGTCGGGGGAAGGAGGTTGAGGGTGTGCAAGGGAGCATTCGACGAGTCAATAGAAGCTCCAGCAATGCAAATGAAGAGGCCCCTCCCTTGTCTAACATGCAATACAAGCACACCAACTCACCAGAATGTAGGCCCTGGGCGACTTTTGCCTGTGACTTATAAGTCAGCTCTAGCTATGCGATCTAAGAGCCCCCTAACTTTTGTCTGACATACAACACAAGCGCACCAACTCACTGGAATATAGACCCTGGGTCGTTCCGAGTCCTTGGGCTGAGGCAAGTTCCCAAAGGACGACTCTAGCAGGGCCAGATTCAGTGCATGATCCACCGGCGCCCCTGCTGCTGCTGCTCCTCTCTTCCTGCCCCACCCTCTCACCTGAATATAACCACTCCTCTCATACACCCATGTCCTCTCACCGGAATGTAGGCCCTGGGTCGTTCGGAGTCCTTGGGCTGAGGCAAGTTCCCGAAGGACGACTCTAGCAGGGCCAGATTCAGTGCATGATCCACTGGTACCCCTGCTGCTGCTGCTCTGCCTCCTCCACCTCCTTGCCCCACCCCTCCCGCTCCCACTGCCCCCACTGCTCCCACTGCTCCTGCTGCTGCTCCTCCAGCAGCGCTGCCAGAACCAGCAGCAGCGGCTAGGGACATGGGGTCACTAATCGGCCCTGCGTCGCCCATACCCACACCCCCTTGCTTCCTCCCAATGACCCCTGGTGCTGAGAGCGATGCACCAGCATAAGCACCGGCTCCGGCAGCTGTAGCAGCGGCTGTAGCAGCAGCTGTGGCGGAAGAAAGGGCATTTGCAGGGATAGAGGCGGTGGTGGTTGGTGGGGTGGCGGAGGATGGTGGGGGGAAGGAGGAGTTGGCGGCAGAGGGAGGCATAGAGGGGCCTACTGCCCCTGCTCCCGCCATGTGCCCCATATGCTGCTGCTGCTGCTGCTGCTGCTGCTGCTGCTGCTGCTGCTGCTGCTGCTGCTGCTGTTGGTGTTGTTGAGCGAGTAGAGGGGGGGGAGAAGGCAGAAGCCGCTGCTGCTGCTGCTGCTGCTGTTGCTGCTGTTGGTGTTGTTGCTGCAAGCGCTGATGCTCCTGCTGCTGGAGTAGCAGAAGCAGCTGCTGCTGTTGCTGGGGATCCATGTTGCCTTCCCCAGATACGCCTACCCCGCCTGCTGCCTGCTGTTGCTGTAACTGCTGTTGCAACTGCTGCTGCTGCTGCTGCTGCTGCTGTTGCTGTTGCTGCTGCTGCTGCTGCTGCTCCTGCTCCTGCTGCTGCTGCTGCTGCTGCTGTGCCTCTGCAATCTTTGCTTCTTGCTGCTGCTGCTGCTGCTGCTGCTGCTGTTGCTGTTGTTGCTGCTGTAGTTGCTGTTGCTGCTGTGACTGAGGCCCATTCACCCCCAAGCCCACCTGCCTCAGTTGTGCCTGCCCCTGCGTCTGATCCTCGCTCTTCTCCTGCCCTCCACCCTGCCTTGCCTGACCGTCTGCCCCCACCCCTGCAGCTGAGGATTGAGTTGCCAGTACTTGCTGCTGTTGCTGCTGCTGTTGCTGTTGCTGCTGTTGCTGTTGCTGCTGCTGCTGCTGCTGCTGCTGCTGCGGGGGAAGAGGGGACTGGGACAGCTGGAAGTTGGCAAGAAAAAGGGCAGGATAGGACAGAAACGGGATGTATTGGCACAGGCAAGGTTGAAGGCAACGGCTATGGCATTGCACTGCGTAGGGCTGAAAAGCATTGCACGGACCACAGTATGCCACAGGCAGGTTACAGCATCATGTCCCATTCCCACGTCACACAGCATCACATCTTGCAGTCACGCACAAAGCCTAAACACCAGAGAATAATGTGGTTCCATGCTGTTCAATGCATGAATGATCTGGCAAAAACATACTACAGGATGCTGCTGCAATCACTTCGAGAATTCTCAAAAGTGATCTCAAAAGAAAATTCTCAAGAGTGATTTTATGGCTGATCTGGTAAAAGCATACTACAGGATGCTGCTGTGTTTTGAGTCAACTCAAAACGCGCAATGCATGAATGATCTGGCAAAAGCATACCACAGGATGCTGCTGCATGGCCAGCAAAGGAGACGCCAAGTTGCCAGCCGACGTCGAACCAGCAAGGGACGCTCCCGAACCTGCTGCCGAGCCTGCGCCAGCGGCAGCGGCGGCAGCAGCGGCAGCCATGACAGCAGCAGTGACCCCCTGCTGCTGCACCTGCTGAAACCGAGTAATGTACCTCTGCTTCTGGTCCGGTGCAATCTCTGTGCGCTGGAACTGGAGGGAGGAGGTGGGGGGATGGGGAATGGAAATGTGGAGAGACAAGGAAGGGGAGGGTTACTGAAACGGTGCGTAAGTGGGAAGCAGTGACCCCCTGCTGTTGCACCTGCTGAAACCGAGTAATATACCTCTGCTTCTGATCGGGAGCAATCTCTGTGCGCTGGAACTGGAAGGAGGGTGGGGGAGGGGATGGGCAAAGGGAAGAGGAAAGGGGCGCGGGGAGGAGAGGGTTACTGAGACGGTGTACAGCTAGCACCTGCTTCTGGTCAGGTGCTATCTCGGTGCGCTGGAACTGGATGGAGGCGGGACGGGTAATGGGGAGGGACGAGGGGAGGGTTGCTGGGAAGGAGCAGAGATGGGAAGGAGCTGGAACTGCCGCAAGTGGGAATGGGAAGACAAGGGCACGATTTTGCTAATAGAGAGTCTAAACAGTTATTTGAAACAAAGGATCCAATCCACTCACCCCAGGAGGAAAGCGGACCCCAGCAGGTAGAGCAGACAGCCTGGTCTCCACTGTGCCCCCACCGCATTGAACATCCTCTGCTGCGCACTCAGCACATTCCAAACAACCGGTTTCAATTCACTTACCCCAGGAGGAAAGCGGACACCAGCAGGGAGAGCAGACAGCCCGCCAGTGCCATCAGCAGCAGCCACGCCTCCCTGCAGCTGCTGAAAAGCAGCCGAACTGGGAAGCCCTGGTCTCCACTGTGCTCCCACCGCATTGAACATCCTCTGCTGCGCACTCAGCACGTTTGCTGCTGCTGCTCCCAGCCCTGCTCCCACCCCTCCCTGCCCCACCCCTCCCACGCCGCCCACGCCTGGCATCATCATTCCTGCGCCTGCCGAACCTGGCGGCGCCAAGCCTCCCACCGAGCCTACTCCGAGGCCTGCCGCCGAGCCTGCTGCTCCGGGAAGGCCGGATGACAGGATGGACGCGCCTGGATTTGCCGTTGCTGAGGCTGTGGCATCAGCAGCACCTGACGAGGCACCTGGTGCCCCACCTGCTGCGGCTGCAAACGGACGAACGAGGCCACCCGGAGCAAGGCCGGTGGACATCACTGCACTGGATTGCGTGGGACCAGAAGCAAGGGTAGAGGGAGGGACGGGAGAAGAACCCATGGAGAGCAAGGGAGGTCTGGTTGCCACGCCATTAGTGCCGTTGACACCAACCACAGTAGCTCCGTTGATACTCCCAGGGATAGACTGACCAGCACCCACCCCGACCCCAGGCAACAGCCCTGCCCCAGCTGCTGCTGCTGCTGCTGCTGCTTCGCCTGCTTGCTGCTGCACCCCGCCAGCTGCAGCGTGCGAGTAGCTAGGCACAGCCGAGCCTGGAGGCCCGGCAGTGGCAGGTGCGGCTGCGCCAGAAACGGCAAACGGGGGAGGAGGAGAGGTGATAGACCTAGGTCCTGGGCCTGAAATGACAGCACCACCAGCACCAACTGTAGCAGCAGCAGCACCAGCAGGAGCAACGCCGGGAGCTCCAGAGCCACCAACAATCGCAGCCAAACTCGCCCCTTTCTTCCCTGCCTTTGCAGCTGCCGACGCCAAACCTGCACTGGCTGCCGAACCTCCTGCCGAGCCTGAAGACACTGTTCCTGCCGTCCCATTGGAAGGCCCAAGATCTGCAGATCTGCTATGCCGCCCTGCCACTCCCCCTGCTACTTCCCCTATACCAGGACCCACTCTCTTACCCCCCACACTTCCCACCCCATGCCCTGCCCCTCCTGCTCCTTCCTCTCCCCCCACACCTCCTTCCTTCGCCCCTACTCGCCCAGCACTGGTAACCGTAACCGTGCTTGCAGCAGGCGCTGCTGCTACCACTCCTGCTCCTGCTACTGGTGTTACCACTGCTGCTGCTGGAGGGGCCACTGCTCTGGCTGTAGCAGCAGCAGCAGCAGCACGGCCGGCTGTAGCGCGGGAGGAGGCAGCAGAGGAGGTGGTGATGGTGGCGGGGAGAGGGGCGGCTGTAGCGGCGGCGGCGGCGGCAGCAGCAGCAGCGCGGGAGGAGCTATGAGTGGAGGAGGAGTCGTCTGTAGCGACCGAATCAGATGTGTCTGAAGAGACGGAGGGGGGTGAGGGATGCGCGAGTGCTCCTGCTGGTCCCGATTTCTGAGGAAACAGGCAGAGCAGGGGCAGGGGCAGGGGCAGTGGCAGAACAGGTTGGAAAATGAGCAAAAGATTGACGGGGAAGGAGGTCTGGGAGCTATGAGTGGAGGAGGAGTCATCTGTAGCGACCGAGTCAGATGTGTCTGAAGCGACGGATGGGGGTGAGGGATGCGCGAGCGTTCCCGCTGGTCCCGATTTCTGTGGAAGCACACAGGGGAGGGATATGGGGACAGGAGAAAGGGAAGGGAGGCAGGGGCAGGGGCGGGGGCAAGGGCAGGGGCAGGGGCAGGGGCAGGGGCGGCGGGGAGTTGGAGGTTGGGAATGAGCGAAAGATTGACGGGAAAGAGGTTTGGGAGCTATGAGTGAAGGAAGAGTCATGCTATTGCTGCTCCAAAATTCTGAGGATATTGACTCAAAAAGTCACCTCTGTAAGGCGCAGTGGGTGGCATTATGGTGCGGTACGGTGCAGCAAGCTCGTACCGGCAGGGAAGAAGCGGTAAGGATGGACTTGGGGAGTGCAAGCCCCGAGGCAGCAGCGACAGCAGCCTTCTCCTTCACCACAATGGCCTGCGGCACGATGGGCACCGACTCAAGCGACTCGAGGGCGTCCATCTTCTCGAGAGGCAGCGACTCGTACAGATCGTCCGGCTCTCCAAACTCGTCAAAATCATCCTGGTTCCTCTCAACATAGTCCTCCACGAGGTCCTTCACGTCAGTGACCTGCTCGGGGCTGAGCTCGTCGTTGTCCATCAGCCGCAGAATCATCTCCAGCCGCGTGATGTGCGCCTTGTGCCGCGTGATCGACTCCTCCAGATGCATCTGAGAAAGGTGGGTGGGTAAAGTGGGGTGGAAAGGAGTGGAGAGGAGTGGAGGAGCATTGGGATGGGTTAGTGCACTCAGAGAGAGCAGAATCAACTCCAGCCGAGTGATGTGCGCCTTGTGCCGCGTGATTGACTCCTCCAGATGCATCTGCCGTGGTGGCAAGGGTTGGGTAGGGGTGGGTGAGTGGTTGGGAGGAGTGAAGAAGTGTTGGGTTGGGTTAGTGCACTAAGAGGGATGTGCGCCTTGTGCCACGCAGAAAGCAGACAGGAGGAGCGGGGAGCAGGTGGAAAAAGGGGGAGAAGGTGAGGGAGGGGAGCGTTGGGTAAGTGCAATCAGGCGAAGGTAGGTTGAGTAGTACCTACCAGTCTCAGAGGTAATTTCTTACCAGGCGTGGCGGGCGCTGCTTGCCCCTCTTGACTTGCAGCCCCTCCATTTCGCTCTCGAACCCGTCAATCTGCGACTCCAACTCGCTCACCTGCCGGCGGACCAAGGGGCACCGGGAGGGTGGGAGTGGAAGGGAGGGAGGGAAGGGGGGTGAAGGGTGCCACAGGCGATTTGAGATGAGAGAAGGGTGTGAGAAGAAGGAGAAGAGGTGGTGTGACAGCAGAATAAGGGACACCACTGTTTGATGATTTTCAAACAGAACAGTCCGGAACAAATGTGCAGGAATGATAGAATGGTCGAAAGGAGCAGCTGAGTGTAACAGTAGTATAGAAGAGCAATGCACGGCAGAGGACAAAGCACGCCAGCCTTACCATCTGATTCAACCAGTCACGAGACTCCGACCTGGCCTTTTCCCTTGGATCCTGCAGGATAACCACCAGACAGAATCAGAACACGACCAACAGAGAACCGCACACCCAACAACAGAAGAACAGGAGTGCAGGACTGCACAGCACAGAGAGAGAGGTGTGTTTCGGTGTACCGTTTTTGGTTGTTGGCCGAGCCCCTCTTTACTGAAGGCTTTCGTTTTGGTCTCTTTCTCGCACACTTTGAACCGCTCCATCTCCCGTTCTATCAGCTTCCTCGCATCCAGCAACGCCTGCCATTCGGGGAAAGCCAGGGGTTGGGAGGAGGGGGGAAGGCGGGGAGGTGGGGTTGGGGAGGAAGATTGTGGGGGAAGGAGGGGAAATTAAGGGGGAGGGGAGGGGGTCGGGGGGAGGTGGGTGTGCAGGGACCGTCAATAAACGCAAAAGGCGGACTCTAGGCAGGAACGCATGAACGGAGAGTAGGAAGAAGCGGAGAGCAGGTGTCACGAGAACATCAGCAAGGCAGCGCGAGAGCGCTGAAACTAACCTTTTTGTCCTTGATTTCGCTGGACTGGATCCATGTCTTGATCTGGTCGCGGTACCGCTGCAGCTTCTTAATCTCCTTCTTCAGGTCCGCCTCGAACTTCTCCTTCTGGTTCAGGTTCTCCGTGTCGTACACCTGAGGAGACAAGACAGCACATGACGCGAACAGGACACGACAGGACACGACACGACACGACAAGACATGGCGCAAACAAGGTGACATTTGAGTCGACTAAAAACTATTTTCCTTCTAACTCAGGTTCTCCGTGTCGTACACCTGAGACGAGACAAGGCATGACAAAGAGGGGATTTCCGAGATATCGAAATCGTTACTGGTGACGTCTGCCTGAGAGAGAAGAGCAGACAAAACAGATACGAGCGAGAAAGAAACGGGGGGTAGAACACCAGCAACGAGGCCTCGCGATGCAGGAATGAAATCGGAGGTGATGGCGTTTGTCGATTCAGGCATTCCCTTCAGGCATGATACCGTCACGAAGTCGACTGGAGTCGCGCGGAATGATCAACGTGGACAAACCGAGTAGGCATTGTTCAAATCGACCGCAACGAAACCCTAGAAGATACCGTGGCTCTGGGACTGCTTAGTTAAGTGCTGGGTAAGACCTCTGACAGTGTAAAAAGACGACAAGCGAATGAAAACTGCGCATGACGACAACAGCGCTGACGACTCTACGGAGATTCCAGGGTGTCATATGCGCTTTCTGTATACCTTATTCCATATGCCGTCGAAAATCTCTACCCCTTCTTGGACCTTCTTAAGCACCCGGTCAATCTCTCCTTGAAGCTTTCTTGTCGCTCCCATGATGAGAAACAAACGCCGTCAGTAGATTACGTTAGGACGCTCCGTCAACGACCTCCGTTATCAGGCTTCGCCGAAAGTGAACTTCCGTAAACTCCGTCGACAGTCTCCGTAAGCAGGCTCGGTAAACTCCGTTAATGTAAGCTATGCCTTTTACGGGAAAGGCCTAGGTGCTCCCGTGTTAGATGAGGCCTGCGTGTCAGGCGTCTAACAAGCCTGGTTTGTTAAAAAGAAAGAGACACAATAACGAAAAGTACCAACCGAGCAATCTCGATGGGTAATCCTGCTGTTTATGGCGTCTGACGTGAGTCTCCGGGCTGCAGATACACAACCCTGCAACACAAAGCCACTAACTGAACAGAAAGCATGTGACCCTGCAACCTAGGTATTTGCTGCAGATTATTCACTCTTTAGAGGGGGTGCTGCTGATACAGAAAGCATGTGTCAGGGGGATCAGGCAGGTGTTGACGGAAGGCGGTACGGAAATCCAAAGCAGGTCAGGTGAGGTGAGAATGAGCCTCGGGATTGACGAGAGGATCCGAATCCGACGGAGATGGTTGAGCGTGACAGAAACGAAAACACAGATGCGTCGCTGTTCTGTAAAGATTCCAGTTTAGATATTGATGCACATTTGAAGTGGCTTGCTTTTTATAATGCTGTGCTATGAAACTGAATCTTATGAAACTAATTCAGCATAAATGTAATAAAAGTCATTATCAAAGTAGTACAGCGCCTCCGACAACATCCCACAAGCCTTATAGACCAGCCAAATACTCCCGTGCCTATTAAACTACTTCAGCGCTCTAACGCCAATAGCATGCCCATATCATTGTCCCTTGCCTACTCATGTACTAGACGCCCTAAACTAGTTCTGCCGGAATGGTTGTCAGAATCCTACTCACCCTATGCTTCAGAAGTTGCAGCGCAGAAGTCTCCTAGCAACCATCCCCACCCTGAAGTTAGCGGCACCATCTCGCATACCAGCTTATTGACCAATAGGGCCGGCGCGATTGGTTGCACGTGGCACCTCGAGAGCACTAATTGCTTTGTAGGAGTATGGAGGTTTATATCCCGGCGATCCACTCTCGGTGAAGAACGCCCCGTTCTCAAAGTGGTCTCCTACAGACTGCCAGTCCCAGTTCATGTACGTTGACTGCCCTGCTGCTATGTTGTGCTTCGTCACCTGCTCAAAAGGCACCAGAGCATTGCACAGCACAGAACAGACACAGCAGTGTGATAAGGTACACTGAGGAACATGCAAGAGGAAGAGCAGAGGATGACAACATATATGTCTAGTGTACTATGCATTACTTTGCAAGAAGTTAAAGAGCAACATACCTCCTTGAGATACGGAACATTATTGGCCACGAAGTAGTTCCCCTCGCTCAGAAACGTCGGGTCAGCGCTGCCACCAATGGCATAAATGCCCCATCCGTTCGGGTAGTAGTTGTTCACCACGTGGAACTGCCCGAACCTGCCCCGAGGCAGGCGCTCCGACAGGTTCGGACCGAACTTGTTCAGCATGACAGTTACACGCATGGCACGGTCAGCACTGTACGTGTCATCATGCCCCATCAGGATAACCTGGGAGGGTGGTAGTGGAAAGAAGGGAGGGTGGGGGTCGGGGACGGAAGGCGTAGAGGAAAGCATGTGGTAGCAGTTGGAGACAGTGATGGTAGTGCTGGTCACGACAATATCAATGTGGGTGTCGGTCCGCATGTCCCCTTTATAATCCACCTCGACGCTATTTCTTTCACAATCCCACACCCACCTTATCCTGATTTGTAAAGTAACAGTTGGAGACGGTGACGGCAGTGCTGGTCGCGACAATATCAATGTGGGTGTCATCCGCGTAGTCAAACGAGCAGTGGTCCACCCACACGTGGTGCGACGCGTAGATGTACAGCCCGTACCCGTTAAGGTAGTTTCGCCCGCTCACTGTGTTATCCGGGCCCGTGGTCAGCCTTGTAGCACCGCTGTTAGCAATGAGGGAAGGGGAGTAGCAGAGAAAGAGAGGGTGATGACTGGTGGTATCAGCGCTTCTCAAACAGCGGGAACGGCGCCTCAGCGGAGGGAACGGCGGGACTGCGTTACGTACACACGATTCTTGCAGTTTTTGAACGCCATGCCGAGCACGATGACGTTGTGCGAGGGAAGAGAGGGTGATGTTGCAAAATCACAAGGACGGAACAACACGGGGCTACACCACTTACACTCGGTTCTTGCAGTTCTTGAACGCCATGCCGTGCACGATGACGTTGTGCGAAAACTCGATGGCCATGCACGGCCCGTTACCCATCGTTATCTTTCGCCCGCGCGCGTCCACCGTCTTGTCGTTATACACGATGATCTCCGCATCCAGCCCGCTAAAGTCAAAATCGTCATCGAATACAATCCACAGCGGCTCGGCCTGGGGTCGGAAATTGTAAAAAGAGGACGGAGCGGATAGTTACGACGGAAAATATGCAAAAGCTAAGAGTATCCGCAAATATTGCTCCTACCCCCACTCTATTTTTCCCGCTCGCTTACCCGGGTCGCGCCATATCGCAGAGTGCCCGGCTTGGGGTTGATCAGATCGTCCTGATTCGACGTCACGTGGTAAATGCGCCCGCTCGCGCCGCCCGTGGTTCCCGTCGCGTAACCCTCGACGCAGCTCGCCAATTTCGTCGGTGTCGCTTGCCAGTTGGGACCCATCCAGCAGTCGTCGATCGGGTTACCATACGGCAACCACTGCATTATCCCCTGCGCAACGTCGTTGTGTCCCAACCAGCCGATATCGCTATCTTTCTTCGCAGACGCCTTCGAAGAACTCCCGCTCTTTCGCGAACCGCTTCGCGAACTGCCCCCTTTTCGCGAACCACGTCTCCTGGCGCCCCGCTTGTACTTGTGGCCCCCCTTCACGCGGTTACTCGAGGCTGGGACATTCTTGTACTTATGGCCTCCCTTTTTGCGGTTCTTCGTGGCTTCGGTATCCTTCCACTTGTGCCCTCCCTTCTTCCTGCCAGTCGAGGTCGTTCCCTTTCCAGACGCGCTCGTGCTTGAAGGTTGGACAGATTTCGACCCACTAGCCAAAAGAGCATTCTGCCCCAGGCCTATCTGCGGCAGGGCGAGGCGTATTTGCTGCGCCGCGTTCGCCGGGACGCTCCCCTCGCATGCCTGCAACCACAGAAAAACCGCATCCGTCCATCAGGGAAACGTTCTACACATCCGTTCCGTGTATGTTTGCATAAATCGCTAAAAAAAATAGACAGCTTTCACTGGCACGTACGCGTGCAAGCAAGCTTGCCAGCTTGGTCTGCGCGACGGCTTGTCCCGGTTTCCCCGACTTCACCAGGCTGTCCGCCATCTGCAGCGCGCGGCACGCGCGCGTTAGCGTTGCGCCGCACGCCGTGGTTCGACTCATGTACTGCGCAATTAGGAGACTATGCCACGCGGTCGCGAGTGGGCTTAGCGCGGAGCTGCCGCTGAGGAGGGGACGGGAATCAGGGGGGAAGCGGAAAGGGGGGGCGGGCCGGGCCGGGCCGGGCCGGGGGGGAGAAGGGGGGAAGGGGAGGAGGAGGGGGAGGGGGCGGAGGCGGAACAGCGAAAGAGGGAACTTAAGGCGAACAAGTGGCAAGCAAACGCGGAGGTCGTGAAATGCGGAGTAGGCAACCTATAATCGTTATTAAGCAGGTACTCACGCTAGGCTCCGGCGCAACCCGCGCTCGTCGTTTCCTTCATCCGAAACGCGCCCGTCAGAATCAGACGAGCTCGCCGCTGATGCGTGCTCGGCCTCCGCAGCGCCGCTCGCGGCGGCTTTCGCGGCGGCCTCCAGGTCCATTAAGGACATCTCGCCCCAGCCCTCGTACGGCTGAGACTCGTTAAATGCCACGCCTGTGTCTTCGTCGACGTAACCGGCGGTGACAGGTGCATTTGATGTTGAAGCGGCAGCGCCATGCGCGAAGTGGTATACCGCCAGGAGAAATAGTAGCGGTATTAGCGCCGTGAGGCTGGGCGCCCCCATTGGAAGCTAAGCCGTTGCGATAGCTTTCAGAGCGGTTCGAAGAGATTGTCTGTTTTTTCTTTCCTCGTAGAATGAAGGACGCTTGGTTGCAACGTGGATTGATACTAGGGTTAGTAGTTAGCAACCTAGGCGCTCGCCAAAGCTAGCGTAACTGAGACGAAGTGGCAGATGACCGGACCCGCTGACCTAAAGAATGCTACTTTATATTTCGTCGACAGGACTACAGTCGCCTGCCCGACTGCGCGCCTGCGGAGAGTTGATCAAGCGAGACTGCCCTTCCTCCAACCAACCAGAGTGCACAACCTTGGTCCAGACCGCGAGGGCGCACCGGCACCCAGGGCAAAGTGAGCGAGCCAGCAGCCCAACCAAAAGTCTGGCCCCCCACAAGCACTTGGCCAAACCCAGGCCTAGGCGAACGCAAGGCAGGAGCAAGAAGCATCGCTTGAGCCCCCATCACGACGTGCGATTCGAACAAAAATAATCCTTACGGAACAGCGAGGGTAAAATGTGGGGCTATTGATTGTGATTGGCTGACCGACTCTCGATGTTGTGTAAATTCGATAATGCTGCACCTCATTGTGATTCAATTGACTTGAAACGGATGCGATGCGCCGTGATAGAGGGATCGAGTCGCCCAAGCGAAGCCGACTCCACTGGAACCTTCAAATGAAGATCGCCAGAAAAGAAAGAGCGAGTTCCACATTCGCCAAGAATAGTAACTCTATTATGTTACATTCAGCAATCTATCCAGCTTATCGTATACACAGAGCATTGTCAAAACAATGAATCCTCCTATCCTGGTGCTGGTGCTTCGTTTCGACTTTCAAATGTTTATTTGACATGCTGAGAAGAATATCGCGCACGAAATAACAAAGACGAAGATACAAAGAACCAAACCTTGACGTGGTCCTCTTTGATATCATACGTTTGAATATATCTTTCATAATGTTCTCATTATGTTTCTCATAATGTTTAATCATCGAGAGTACTCATGCGGACTTGACACTCTCTGACAAGGCCACCTGAATTTTCCTGTGAGCCTCCTCTCTAATCCCTCCTAAGTTGACTTTTAAGTCGACTTAGTAAACACCCGTATTCATCTCCAAGCATCTGAAGTCCCAATGCAGACTTCACACTTGCGACAAGGCCATCTGGATCCTCCTGTATGCCTCCTGTCGGACCCCTGCTAGGTTGGCTTTAATCTCCCTCGAGATTCGCCCCTCCACCAAGGCCACCGGCAGCCAGAAGTGTGGGGTCAGCTCAACCGAGTATGAGAGGGTTGTGGGGCCGGAGGGGGAGCCAGGCAGCTGCAAGCGGGGAAAGAGGGGGGCGGAAGATTAGCTTTAGTCACCTTCGATATTGGCCCCTCCACCAAGGCCACCGGCAGCCAGAAGTGCGGGGTCAGCTCAACCGAGTATGAGAGTGTTGTGGGGCCGGAGGGGGAGCCAGGCAGCTGGAAAGGGGAGGGAGGGGTAAGAGAAATAGAGGTAGAGCGGATGAAGAGGGGGGAAAGAGTTTATGTTTTGGATAGTTCTCAAGAAATCAAATTTGAGGTAAGCTCAACCAAGCAAAAAAGAGGGTGGTGGGAAAAAAACAGGAGCTGAGGGTAAAGAGAGAGATAGATTCAGGGAGCTGGAGGAAGAAGAATAGCCATGTGAGAGGCACAGAATAAGGAGACAAGAAGACTTGTGCTACGCCTGCAATTTTACAGACTACCCCCTGCCCTCTGCTCCTTATAGGAAAAAAAAATATATATATATATAGATATACATAGATATATTTAAACCAGCGGGTTAAATCAAATCAGCACAGAGCTCACCTGTTCCTCAAGAGTCCAGACGCCCACAAACTTTTGAAAGTCGCCCTCCACCATTTTGAAGTGAATGCGTCGCCTCCTCATGCTGCCACCCGCCCCGCCAATCCCCGCATCACTCTCCTCCCCACTGCTGCTGCTGCTGCTGCTGCTGCCACCGCTGCCGTCGCTGCTGCCGCTGCTGAAGCTTCTGGAAAAGGCACGGGGCAGGCGCTCGTCCTCCCCCTCCTCCACATCCACCACCACCTTGGCCCGAAACTTGATGCCCATCGCCATGTCCTGCTCGCCCACCTGTGAAGAGTAGGGTATGGTAAGATATAGTATTAGTATGAAATAGTGCCGCACATGCAAGGGGCTCTTGCTCCCTTTCAGCCCTCCTCCACGTCCCCTCCACATCAACCACCACCTTGGCCCAGAACTTAATGCCCATCGCCACGTCCTGCTCGCCCACCTGTGAAGGATAGAGAGGATATGACGTGATATAATATGGTATAATTCCTGTAAATGATGGAGCAACATGATACATTATATGACACTGCTGCTGGTGTCGCATCAGCCATCCTCACCCACCTGTTAATGCACCAGTGATGCGTACGGGGGGAGGGATGTGGCCGGACGGGAAAATCTACAACAGAAGCTCGCAGATACATGACATAATATGATATGATAAGTTATGCTATGCCGTGACACTACTATTAGCCTTCCATCCACCACCACCACATTGGCTCGCATGGTAACCCCATTGTCACATCATGCCTGAAGGAACCGAATGCAGAAGGGAGAGGGAGGTGGGAGTAGAGGAGGAGAGGGGGAAGTGGGGGAAGAAGGGGAGTTTGAACGAAGAGATTTTGCTGGAGAGGAATGCGTAGTTCCGACACTCACTTGCTCAGTATCATCCCCATTGAAAGCAGTTTCTCAAACCTAGATTAGCACGTACCTGCAGCAGTCTAGCTCCGTTGCTTCGCCGCTGCAGCATCTGATTGGTCGCCAGGGAGGGGATAAAATCCGCGAGCCGCTCGTAGTCTGTCAGAACGCCCCACACCACGTCAGCACTCGCGGGAACCACGACGCGCGCGCTCACGCGCCGCGAGTTGCTTCCCAAAACCTCCACGCTCGCGTCGCCGCCATTCGCGGCGTCTCCGGCGCTCGCGGCGCGAGTTGCGGCTGCCGCGGTCGTCGCGGCCGCCGAGGTGTCAGCGGAAGGGGCGTCCGCGTCGGACATCCTAGCTGCCACGTCATACGAGCGCCGAATGCGGCGGGATAGCCGGGACTCTCTACGGCCGTGATTGACGGGAGAAACGGACCGGAATCTAAAAGATCCTGACTTGTTCCCGGTTCGAAGAAGCAAGTTCGAGGAAGCATCGCAGCTGGGAAGCTGACAAACGTTGCGAGCGGCTGGAAACTTGCTATCGCGTCGAATCAATCTGGGAAGATCTTTAGCGAAAAGTGGAGGTCTCGAGACCGCGTTGCTGAGGGCCGCATGAGCCATGATGGCCGTACGGAAAATATTAGAATATAAAAACCCAAATGGATGGGAATGGGAGAAAGGACGGGCAAAATCCACGTTCTGAGGTTTGCCTCGGTTTCCCCGACACGTGGAGCACCTTGCGGCAGCGCAGGTGCCGCACTTTGCGCTGACCAAGAGGAAGAAATACTAGTTTAGGGCGACGTCAGGTTATACATTTCTCAAACGTTTACAGCTCTTGTAACGTGGTTCAGGACGGTCAAACACGGTGCGAAGCGGTTTTTGACGTTTACCGCTCTGCACCGTGTTGAAACGAAGTTAAGCGCAGTCGGCGTACAAAAAGTAGTACAACCTGACGTCGCCCTTAGGGGATTATTATACGGTGCCTCAGGTTTCCCCCCTCTTTTTTCAGGGAGAAAATTTGGATGGAGGAGTTAGGGGGTGAAGAAGCAGCCGGCAATGTTGTACGCTTTATGATTCGCTTTGCTAGTAAGATATATCTAACACAGGTTTAATATAAAAACATCGATATTTTCCTCTCCAACTTATGGCGCTGGGTCCGTGCAAACAGAGCGAATACTTGATACACGAGCTATTGAACAGACAAGAAGAACCATCTCGGCACGCCCGCTGTCCCAGCATTATCCTCCACCGTCGCATCGCAGCATCATCGTCCGTCATCGCAGCATCATTTCTGCGACCGGCACACTTCAACTTAATGAAGCGAAGCTAAACTTCGCCGATCCACAACCGGCAACTGCAATCTCGATGCGACGCGAGCGACAGCCGGAAAAGCCTCGCATCGCAGTTGGGGCACGGCTTATATATACGCGCTCGACTTCGAACCGTAAACTTGTTATGGGGCGCCTCAAGAAAAGGCACACGCATCGCCGCGGGGTGGGGTTAATATATACGCGCGTTCGATTACGACTCGGAGTCGAGGACGCTAGTAGTTCCGCAGGGCCTTGTTTCGAGCGAGCCGCCATCAATTGAGTCAACAGTGACGCTCACGTCGCCAAATCTCATCGCGCGTCGAGGCCGCTAGACGATAATCGTCGGCGCGAAGCGATGCGTTGCTGAGTCGCCCATGTGAACACCGACAGCAGCCGGTCGTCGTCTTCGCGTCGGCATTCGTCGCTTCTCGGAGTAGTACTACTAGTAGAAGAGCTAGGACTGATTGTCGGCGACGCAGTCCGCGCCGCGTGACGCTGCGCCGAGTTGTGCGGCGAGCTCTCCGTTGCACTGCTTGTGCTCGCGACACGAGGAAGCTCCAGCGGACAAACCGCCGCCCCGCTGACCGCGTTTCTCGCAAGGTAAGAGTCCGAGCTTGCACGGTGAACCGCCGCAAGACGCGCCACGTCATACGCCGCGGCTGTAGTCGGTGAGAACGGCTTTGGTTGCGGCGGTAGTTGCGCGGAAGATTCTCGTGACTCCACGCCGCCGGCGGTGGCGGCGCATGATGCGGCGGCCACGCGAGCTTCATCGATGGAACGGCGGTGGCGCGACAGGGTCGATAGGGGGGCTGTTACCGAGTCTAACGCGGGAGTGCTGAGCGATCGCACGCCACGCCGCAGGCTGTTTCGGGTGTTCGCAGAGCCGTTGGGCGACGCGTTGGTGTCGCCTGCTGTCGCGCGATTCCACATCTCTAGGCGGGTGTCGAGACGGGAAAAGCGTGCGGGGCTGGTCTTGTTGGGATCAGTAGCAGGTGAAGCGGAATCGGCGGGAGCTTGATAGGATGACTCGATGAAAAGAACGGGAGCAGCAGGCCGACCGGCCCGGTTGGACGACGAGCACATCTTGTGAGACGTGCGTGGGACGAGACTTGCAAGTTAGGTGCGTGGGACGAGACTTGCAAATTAGCCACGAGACAATGGAGCTCGAAACTCTACGGACTTATGAACTCGAAATAGGTTGTTCACGCTAACACTGAGATTTCTGCCACCTTGATCTGGAAAGTCTCTATGTACACCCTCATTCTCAGTCTGTGCACAATCGCCACATGAACATGCCAGCTGTAATGACATCAATGCGTCCAACATGGTCCAAGAACATACGCTGTAAGCACATTTGCCGTACTTAACCGTACGAACAACTAACTGTAAGTTTACATAACGTTGTTTACCGTTCCCCGGGAGTGCGTTTGCCCGCCACCTACCTAGAGTTCGGCTCCAAGCACCAGATCGCTAGGGTCCAAGCAATCAGACGCACTGTAGCCAGTGCTCCCAATTGTGCGTAGACTGAGAATGAGGGTGTAACGCCCACAAGAAAAATAGGCAGTCGACTTCTTGAGAGTCTTGTCTTTTCCCCATAGCTGGCTGGAGGGGACCTTGGAAAGTCGACCCAGTGTGGTGCACTCCACTCATTCCTGTCGGTCTGCCTTGGCGCTTTGTATGATGGCAAGGCAACCACCAGCGAATCATGCGAGCCACCACTAGAGCGGTCGGACAACGGGAGGGCCCCACGATACTGTACTGATGGTTCCCCGCGAAGCGTCACCACACCACTTCCAAGTGCAAATTCGGGTGGCAGCGCAAGCTGGTGTGCGTGCACCATAGATCGCACGTGTTCACGCACAGTTCTTCCGCTAGCTTTACGGTGTGAAGTTACCCTTGACCTTCTGTATTGTTTCTTTCCGCACAAGGAAAGCCAGTTGTGAAAAGCCGAACGACCCTGAGAAGAATTGCCTTTGATATGAGGAGGTCGGGTCCACATTTAATAAACTCCTGCCATATCAGTGCTAATTTGGGAGCTTCCGGACGTTCCACCCGAGTTTTGAATTTTTCTTTCACTGAAATTGTCCATTGTCTAGAAATATCGACCACACACCAAGCATGTCCATACATTACGGTTCAACGACCTCGTGTAAAATTTTAAACCTACGTACACGACGTTCTCACACGGTTGAGAACCGAGCATCAGCTGCCCAGCTTTCCTGTCTGTTCAGTTATCCCCCGCCAGGGTGGCTGAATCTGAAGTCGCTTTCTCAACCACCCATTTTACGGGCAAATCAAATTTAGTTCATGTTAAACCACCCCACCCACACCACTCCAGTGGAGAGGTATCTTGGGCTTGAAAACAATGATTACCTTTCTAGTACATTTCTAGGGTTTCCTTCCTAGTCCTCACCTGTTCTGCCCGTGAAAGCGGCCTGGCCACACCCACATCTTTAGATAGTGCCATTTTGTATAGCAAATTCATTCTCTGAACAACTCCCACTTCAACTCCTGCCAACTTCCAAGAAACTTCAGTATTGTAATTGCCCTCAAACTCAATTCTGCCCATACTTTTGGCCTTCTGCCTGCTTGTGTCAATTCTCACGAATAATCATGTCCCTCAACTTAATTCCTGGCCGCTTTCTTGGCCCTCTTCCTCCTTGCCCTCTCCTCCTCTTCCCTTGCAAGTAGCTCCGCCTCCCTCTCGTCCTCCTTGCGTGCAATCAGAGCACTGCATCCAGTTATGAGGATGACGGTGAGAACGGATGAGGATGAGGATGAGGATGAGGATGAGGATGGTAACGAGGAAGATAAACGAGCATGGGGGTGATAGCAAGGAAGCTAATGATGAGGATGAGGAAGATGTTGACGAGGCACAAGCGAGAGAAATTGTTGACACGGATAGTCAAGCCACCAGAACCAGTTCATACAGGGAAGACAGGATTAAACAGAGGGAAAGAGGGGGAGAAATACAGGGACATACCCAACCACATATCTCTTCTCACCTCCACTCCTCCCATTGAATGAAACCTGTTGTTCCTCCCCTCCCACTGAATCAAATTCCTCACGTCCTCACTCCCCATGGCATCGCATCTCTCACCCGCTTCTAACTTCTGCCACCATTATTTTTATATCAAACTCAAAGAAACAACCAACTCCCTTTGTTTTTTTATTTTGGGTTATTCTCTACAAATGTTTTTTTGTCTTTCTTTTCCTTCTTGTTTTCCCCAAACTCTTCAAAAAAAATCTCACATCTTAAGAAGAAGAAGAAAAAATCACTCCAGCCCTTCTCACCTTCTCCTCTCCTCCACCATCAGCTGGCTGAACCCAATCCCCACGTGGTCACTGTCATACGCCTTTGAGTTGAAACCCCCAGGTGCCTCTCCTTTCTTTCGCTGTCAAAACCTCAGTTCACACTAAACAAGAACAGCCATCTTCCTCACCTTCGTCTCTCCTCCGCCATCAGCTGGCTGAACCCGACCTCCATGTTATCATCGTCATCGCTGTCATATGCCGGCCCCATGTGGTTCTCCCTGTGGTTGCGCCTGAGGAAGGGGAGTAGAGGGGGAAAGGGGATAGAGGGGGAGTGAAGGCCAACACTCATCGCTGTCATATGCCGGCCCCCTGTGGTTCTCCCTGTGGTTGCGCCTGGGAGAGGAAGAGAGAGTGGGGGCAGGGGAGGTGGCCGGGCGGGAAAGAAAAGGGGGAGAAGGGGAATGAAGGCCAACAGCCATTGCTGTGACATGCTGGCCCCATGTGGTTATCTCTGTGGTTGTGCCAAAAAAGGCAGGGAAAGAAATGAGAGGCGAGCGAAAGTGCCAGGGTAGCGGAAAAAGCACTGCCACGAATGTGCCAAGGGGGATGGGGGAGAAGGGGAACAAAAGCCAAGAACATTTTCCACCCTAATCCCACATTACACCCGACCGTACCCACCCCAATCCCACATCACACCCAACCATCCCCACGTGAGTTCTTATTGCTTATAATAGGTCTCAAAATCATACCATATCATAGAAAACCCCATCCGCCAGCGCAGCACAGCACATTCCCATGGCATGCTCCCTTCAAGCCAACATACCTGAACATGGTGCACCCCATTCACCTCGTCAGGATGCATCAACCATACATACCTGAACATGCTCAAAATGGAGCTGTCCAGGGAGTGAGTTTCAAGACGACTCAATACCCCATTAACCATACCTGAACACGTCACAACCTCAACCCATTAATACCTGAACATGCTCAGAATGGAGCTACCCAGCAATCCTCCTCCTCTCCCTCCCCTCCGCCCGTACTCCTCCTCGTCCTCATCACTCCCCACCACAAACGAATCGTCTTCCTCCTCCTCATCCTCTTCCTCCTCTCTCCTCCTCTTATTTGGCAACCCCCTTCCTCCTGCTCCTCTCTCCCCTCCTCCCCTCCCTCCAAACCTATCACCCCCTCCTCTGCCTCCCATCCTCTCGCCCCCTCCCCTCCCCCCCATCCTTTCTCCGTCCCTCCTGACCAAACCTCTATCTACTTCTCTCTGTGCTCCCATCCGGCTCAGATCTCTCCGAACCTCCAGCCCTGGCTTGGGCCGAGCCATGCCAGCAGGTCTGGCAGGAGTGGAGCCAAGAGGTTTGTTTGACATAGGTGGCGGTTGGGTGCGGTTGGGAGGGGCAGAACCTGGTTGAGGCTTCTGCAGGGAAAAGAGGGAAAAGATGAAGGGAAGAAAGGAAAGAAACGGGAGGGTAGAGGGGGGCGAAAGGAGAGGGTCGAGAGAGGGAATGAGAAGGGAGCGAGGAGCATGGGGGGTAAAATTCAGGGTAAGCTGAGAGGGAAGAGAGGAATATGGAGAGGGAGGATTGAGGGGAGGGTGAGAGGACTATTGGGATAAGGGGGCGGGGGAGGCGGAAGGGGGGGGACGGTGCTCGGTGGGGGTGAGAGGGATAGAGGAATACTGGGTAAAGTCATAAGGGATAATAGAAAATGAGCAAGACCGAGAGGAAGCAAGGAGAAAATCTGAGTGGAAGCAGGGGCCACGATTGAGTGGAAGGAGGGAGCAAAAACTGGGTGTACGTGAAGTAGAAGATTGAGATAAGGCAGGGGGCATACCTTGATTGGCCGATCATCATAACCCCTGGCCCGCCCACCCATCCCATACGCCCCATGTGCCCCCCTGTCCGCTTTATCCCGCCCATCCAGCCGCCTGTCATCACCATCCCTCCGAACAGGGAGCCAGGTAGAATCAAAGCAGGGAGCATACCTTCATAGGCCGATCGTCATAGCCTCCACCTCGTCCACCCATCCCATACGCCCCATATGACCCCCTGTCCGCTTTATCCCGCCCATCCAGCCGCCTGTCATCACCATCCCTTCGAACAATGTCCCCTATCCCTATCCTCCCGCTCCCTCCCATACCACCACCCCCTCCTCCTCTCCCTGCCCCTCCCACCGCCCCCATTCCTCCTCTCCCGCTCACCGCTCCCCCTCCTGCCGCCCCTCTTCCATCCCCTGGCCTCACTACTCCTCTGCCCCCACCCGTAGCCCCCATTCCACCAGCACCACCACCAGCACCAGCTGCTCTGTTCAAAGGCCGTTGCTGCTGGGCACTCCCACTGCTGTGGCCGATGCTGCCCGCCCCTCTGTACCCCTCTCCATCCCTCTGCATGCCTTTGTCCCTATGCCCATCCCTCTCCCTAGGAACATCCCGCTCCTTCACCCCATTCCTGTCCTTGTGCGCATCCCTGTAAGTGTCCCTTTGCCCATCCCTTTGCCCATCTCTTTGCCCCTCCCTGTAGGCGTCTTTCTGTGCTTCTCTGTGTCTCTCATTGTGCCTCTCGTGCCTGTCGGTGTGTCTCTCGTGGTCTCTATCGCTGTGCCTGCTGCTATGCCCGTCCTTATGCAGATGGTGGTGCCCACTCCCACTCCCGTGCGAAGTGCTTTCATTCCTCATTCTCCCCATCCCACCATCCTTCATCCTCTCCCTATCCCTCTCCCTCTCCATCTCCCTCCCTCTATCCCTCTCCTTCTCCCTACCCCTCTCCCTCTCATCCCACCGCCCCCCCACATCCCGAGCCTCTTCCACCCTCCTTCCCCCGGCCTCATTCCGAACCCTCGCGTCCGGCCCGGCAGAAGTCATGGGTCGCCGAACCTGCCCGTCCGGTCCGGCAGAAGCCATCGGCCGACCAGGCAGAGGCTTCGCAGACTTCGCCGCATGTGATTGGCCAGGAGGCTGCTGCTGACGTGGCTGGTCTCTGAACTGGTCCTTGGAAAGCGGAGGGGTACTGAGGGATCTCGGAGGGGCTGTGTGCGGTCGAGGAGGGGTGATCTGGGACCGAGAGGGAGGTGGCTTTTGCTTGGAATCTGTTGAGAAGAGGAAGGAGAAGTCCCGATTCTCCTTGAGTCGCTTGCGCTTCGCCTCCTCCTGAAACCAAGGCGATGGGAGTAACATTGGGTGGCGGGGCGTGGCATGGGATTATGGGACATATTGGGTGAGCGGTGGGGCAGAGATATCTGGGAAAGGAGAGGAAAGGTGGTGGAGGAGAGGGGACAAGGGTCACAAGAGTTGCTCCTACCCCCCCTGCGGCCTGCCTATACACTCAGTAACCACTTCAAACACCTCTCAACCTCACTCACCTCCGCCAAGAGCATTCTCCGGTCATCCCGGTAAGCTGCCTCTGGTGCTTTCTTCGCCCCTCCTTGTCTTCCTGCTGCACTCGCCTTGCTGCCACTGCGTACCTTCTCCGCTTCCTGCCAGTTACAGTGCACCCACACGAGAGGCCAAGGGCAAACACGAGATGGAATGAGAGGCAAAGGGGGAAGCCATCACTACTATCAACCGCATCTGGTGCTTTCTTCGCCCCTCCTGGCCTCCCTGCCGCACTCGCCTTGCTGCCACTGCGTGCCTTTTCTGCCTCCTGCCAGTGCCATTGCACCCACATGCGACGCAAAGTGCAAACACGAGAGAGAAACGGTGCACACATGAGAGGCAGAGGGGAAAACCGTCACTATCAACAGTCACGAGCCAGCTGACGAGCAGACAGTCCAGAGTTACACGCAGTCTACTGAATTGCTCACCTCTCGCTTCCTTTGTGCCTCGCGAGCGGCCATGGCCTGAGCCTCTCGTCGGATCCGCTCCGCGTCCACCACCGTCTTTGCGATCGCCACCTTCGACGGCCCGAAGAACGACCCCCAGTTGCTGCAGGCGGAGGAGGGGGTATAAACGAGGTGAGTCGACTCAGAAATCACTGTTTTGCCAATCGCCACCTTCGACGGCCCGAAGAACGACCCCCAGTTGCTGGAGAGTGAGAGGGGATTTAAACAAGGGAAGCGAAGGGTTTTCACATTGAGACAAGGGTTAGTCGACTCAGAAATTGCCGTCTTGGCAATCGCCACCTTCTGAGGCCCGAAGAAGGATCCCCAGTTGCTGCAAAGTGGAAGGAATTGAACGAGCAAAACGAGGGTTTTATGGTAAAGCGACTTATGTCGAAGCAAACGGGGATTGAAGGAGGTTTGATGCGACAATTTGCACGCAATCAGGAACGTTGGAAGGGAGCACCGTACTTCTCTACCGCTCTCCCGAGTCAACTTCAAAATTCGAAAAAAAAAAAAAAAAAAAAAAAAAAAAAAACAAGAAACTCATTCGCTTCTCTAGGCAATCCCTCTCCTTGACCTATCCATTGGGGACGAACCTTCCGTTCTTCTTCGGATCCGCACTGCCATGCGAGGGTCCGTCTCCTCGTCCTCCTCTCTCAGATCGACCGTTCCCGTAACCGTCATACTCGTCCCTCTCTCTTCTGTCACTCCCGCCATAAGCTCTCCCGCTACCGCTCCCCCCTCTTCCTCCACCTCCTCCTCCTCCCCCTCGCCCTCCGCGTTTATCCGGGTACCCATCACCGTAACCATCGCCATCGTCATCGTCTATAAAGTCATCGTCATCGTAACCATACTGATGATTGTGGTAACCACCCGCATCGTCTTCGTCGTCGTCGCCGTATCTTGACGACCCTGGTCGGCCTTTGTTCTTCTGTCGAATCAGCTCTTCTAGCTTGTTACGGCGCTCCAAATCAGCCATCTGAATAGAATCTTAAAAGGATAAATTCCAGCTGATCTTGTCCAGGTATCCGATTCCCAACAGGCCTTATCCACCTGATACTTCCAAAGGCTCTAGCAAGATAAGTCGATAATACCTTACAGATCAACTACCCTATCGCGGTATTCAGTCATTCAGAGAGCACATGCGCTGGCGAGTAAAGTTCTCGCGAAATTTTACCCGCGGCTGCTTATCTAAACGTCACAAACGCTTAAAACTGCACAGATCGACGAAGGAGGAAGGACCACCGTGAAACGTTAGAACCGTCAAGGATTCCGCTTCCCGGCCGACGACAATCCAGACCCCATCAGTCAACTTACGTTCCTGAAGAGAGCTAGAAACATCATTCTTATCTAAATCGTCACTCTATAGACCACCTAACCTGATAATTCTCACATGAAGATCCGTCAGAAGTTTTTCTTGCCTAACACTCCGCTAGGAACCGAACACGCTTCTAGGTCGGACAACAGCAAGAGGTCTTGAATACAGGAGTGCGACCGAATCACAGCAGTCATGGGAAGGGAGAGATTAGGTCAGCCATAAGGAATCCGGCAACATCCATGAATGGATGATCCTCCTGAAAATGGTGTTGTTGGGTCGAAGCCCGAAACTGGTGGTGGGGGAAGGGATGGAAATCATGTGGCTGAGATGATCTTCTCGGTTGCTGGTTACCGGACGCCGAATGAGGGAAATGTCGCGAAAGGAAATCGCTGGACCCGAAGCAAGTCCCGTTCACCTTCCCGTTCTGGTGCGAGAAGTACAGGTGGTCAGATTCTCGAAGGTCCTGGTGCGAAATAATAAAGAACGCAATCGGGGACTTCCCCCGCATTCTGAATTCGGGCGAAGTGAACGAAATTATAAGTGAACGATGGTCATCTGACGTGCAAATGCAGAGAATAAACCCGCGCACTGACGAGCCGCAGCAACCCAACCAGGTCTGTCAGATCAACTGCGCGTGTACTAACACGCATCTGATATAATTATATGTTGTAATATATCACGCATATACGTAGCCCTATTCTACACAAAAATCTGGATCCGGCTCGACGCCACCATGCAATTCAGACCTTGCAGCGCAAATTAGCTCTCGAGAGCTGTGAGTTTCACGAATTAGCTGCGACCCGACGTGCTGCGATTCTCCGTTGCGCAGCCCACGCGAACACAGAAGAGCTTTCAGCACTCACTTGCTGCTGCTGCTGATGTCCCGCATGCTGCCCCGTACTTCGATGCTGCTGCTGTCGTTCCCACTGCCCCAACGTTCCTGGTTTTCTTAGTCGGTCACCCGGAGAATTTCCACCATTTTGGTGAGCGTACGGCCACCCAGGGTTCACCAACGGCCTTTCTAAACGCTGCATATTCTCCGCTGCACTCCCTGTTACCCGCGCCATCGACCGCGCTGCTGCACCCAAACCAATCCCCACCTCCGCGGACTGTTCCTGCGCAGTAAACCCAACCCCTGTCCCCGATCCCCCCTCTCTTCCCGCACTTCCCCTACAATCCCGCGCCGTCGCATCTTCAGCTCGTTGACGCGCCACGTCAGCTGGCGATCGCTGCGGACCTCGCAAGCCCACGACACGTGGACTTCCACCCGCGGATCTATACCCTGGCGCTTCGAACCTCGAACCCGTGTTCGCGCCGCCCGGCCTGACATAGATCACCCGACACATGGCTTGCCGCCATTGCTCATCAACCCCGGGCGCCCCTAGCACGTGCGCGCTGTGCGATCGCGGAAGCTTTGCGCGGGTCTTCGTCCGCCGATCCGCGGCCTCCAGGAGCGCGGAAGGCACGCGGCACGGGTCGCTCAGAGTGCGCACAGGGGAAGCTTCCGCCGAGCAGAAAGTTGCCTTCAGCCGTGGCGCGGGCAGGCTGAATGATCGGACAAGCGGTGCATGACCGTCCCCCTCTCTCGGCAACATCCGTAATCCGGACCGACGGGACTTCTCCTCGCCGCTAAGCGCAGTCCCGGTGGGCTGTCCGGAGCTGCTGCTGGAGGTTCGGGACATCCGGGAAAGCGCGGCTGCATGCTGCGTCGCGGATGACGCGGATGTAGCGCGATTCCACATTTGTAGCCGGGATTCGGTGCGGTGACGTGAATTGACTTTCGGGGAAGTACAATATGCGGGTTCGCGAGGTGAAAACTCCCAGAAACTGGGGTTGCTACGAATGCTTGCACTGAGAGAAGCACTGTCGCCGCTCTCAGCCTGTTGTCTGAAGCCCATGGTACAATTAGTGCGACCGCTCATGCTGGTGCTTCCGTTTCCACGACTCGACGTAGATCTTGTGAAGGTATATTGCACGCCGCTGGTAAGGCTCGGACATCTGCTTTGATCACTTTCGAGGTGACCACCCGCTGAGGTTCTCGTCACTTCAAGGGAGCTTCGCGTTCTCGAGGCGAGTGTTCGACGCATGGAAGAAGGCGTTCCAGGTGGCTCCATAGGTGCTGGGCTAATCTGACGGCGTCGCTAATCGATCATTATTGTCAGACTTTCTGGCGAGAGGGCTGCGCTTCTGGTTCTTCCCTCAACCTCTTGTACTTCAGACCAGTTCAATGAGCGGTTGTCACAGCAGGCAAAGTTGCTTCGCATATAATAAGGGCGCATTTCAGGTAGTTACGAACAAGCGTCCTCGTAACAAGCGACTGCCTTCCGATTTTACGCGACGTTGGCCGAACCTCTGCGACCTGAACCTCGTAACAACTTTGTTCTAACCACTGAAGGCATTTCAAACGTTTGCGATCAAGTGTCAATGGTCGCGCGCCGTCTACGTGCCACCTGACGACCACCTTCCGTCATTCCCAAAAATCAGTGCTTCCTTGGAGAATTTTAGGGTAGAGCCAAGTGGGCACATTTAAATGCAATCGAGAAAGGTTTGGGATCTCTAAATGTGAGTTCCACCAAAAATGAAACATTTAGGGCAGGGCCAACGGAATGCGGTTGGTTCGGCCGTCAAATTCTGGAAGTGGCAGGTCGTAGCAGAGAGTGAATTTTGACGTGGCAGGTCGTAGCAGAGAGTGAATTTTGACGCCACCCTACTGGCTGCGACCTACCAAAACGCATGTGCGACTCATTTCGTCAGTGAACAGACTTGTTTGTTCGGAGGTGCAAAAGCGACTTCTTAACAAGTTTGGGTGTGTGCGACGACCAACTTGTTCGGAAGTCACTTGTTACGAGGCCTGAAATGCGCCCTAATTTGATTTCTCGAGTTGAACAAATTTCTATTTTATCGCGTGAGAATTGCGAGGAAGGTGCTTAGGGCAGGTGAAAGATCGTTCAGTTTGTGGGCTGGAAAACGAAGCTGTGCGTTCCAGATCGGTTTGCCCGCTCAACCGTATTAAACCACTACACACCAGTCTGAACCAGAAACAAACTAGGCTTGCCCTTCCCTCATTGTGAGGAGGATATTTTCGGGTAACGCAGGTCGGGTTTGCGGTTGGGGATGCACGCGGCAGTCTCATGCAGTTGCAAGCATGTCACGTCAGATCAAGCTCGTCGAACGGAGCTGGACGGTGTGGTGTGGATCCAACTGAGCATTGTGCCCGCATGACGTCCAACCGTGCATCTCGTGTGGGAGTGAACAGTAGTTGGAGGTTCAAGGCAAAAGCAGCCAACCAAACAGCAACACTGGGAAGAGCAGCATCAGCATTTCCCGCACCAACTGTGATGTGAATCAGAAAGTGCACGTTTGATGTCTTCGGCACGGCATCAATTTTGTGCAGTGCAGAGGTACACGCAGTACACAAATCACACCGACGAAGCCAGTTTCGAGGGTATGCTCCCCATACACTTTCGTTTTCCATCTGCCCGAGTCCAATGAAGGGGTGCTGTGACTCGTGAGACAGTTGCCAGAAGTTTCACCCCGCTGATTTGGGGCACCTTTGTGCAGCACACAGTACAGAGTCTGCTCAATTTGGCTTTTTTTTATCGTTGAAACTCTCTGTTCATCGCACATGACTTGTTTTCCAAGATTCGACACCTGTCCAATTTAGCAAGCAATCAACAACACCAGCCATTCCGATTTTGGAGATCCGTCCACACTTATTCGCACCTTCCAGAAAGTTTATACATGGTATTAGCAAGCCTCAATCGACAAAAATGTACACTTCATAGCTGGTTAGACATTGGAAGCATATTTGCGGTTGACTCCTGCTAGGCTTGTAAGGGAAGGCAACATATTCATAATGCTGAGTAGGTATTGCGCTTGCGCTGCCTGGCTTACCGGTATGTATGGCTTCCTGACTCGGACTGATTGGTCTAGAAGTGCATTGAATTGTGGAGTAAACATTGGCTTTGATGGTAATAGACGTTATATAGGATCAGCTCAGCTGCTCCTAGGACGTGTTTGTCCACTGTAGGAACCCCCCTCTCCGGTGAGGTTAGATAGACAACCAAACCAAGAGGCACTAAAGAGTCAGTAACAATGGCAGGTAAGCAAAACGCTGCAAGTACACAGGCAAGCTGGCCATGTTCATGAGAAAAAATCAGCGCACGCCCCAGAAATACTCATTTTCTGGTAACCTTTATCCGATTTGCCATGCGCCTCTTTGCCGCCCACTCAAAAACAGACTCTGTTCCTGCGGGGGCGGTGGAGGCGGAACCAGTGGCGGAAGCACTTCCCCCTTTCGCCCCACTCCCGGGGCTTCCTGAAAGCGGTCTTCCAAAGCTGAAGGCGGAACTTTCACCGAGGCTTCGCCTTGACTGCGTGCGGGAACTGCTCGGGGAACCAGGAACCGCGGCGCTTCCATTGACATGCGCGCTTCTGGACCGCGAAAGGCTCGGGCTCGCAGGAAACAGATCGAACGTCGCAACGTTCGCGGGAAAAACCGGCGACGACGCTCCAGACGCTGTCGCGTCGCGATCTTGCGATGCGACGGAAGTATCAGAGCTGCTGTCGCTGGCGGAAGCGGCAGGTCCTGCGAGAGGCGAACTGCGAGTCGACGCGGCGGCTGCATCGTTCGCGGAGTTGGCGAGGCGAATCGTCGGGCTGCTATTCGACCGGACCGGCGGGATCGGGCATCCGCTGCGCTGAAGCAGCTCTTGGCGCGCAACGGCGGCTTCCGCCGCGGTCCTTTGCGCCGCCGCAGGCTGCGCGGCAGGTGATCGGGCTGCGCCTGCGCCTCCGTCTCCGCCTGCGCCGGCCGTTGCGCGGTTCCACATCATGAGTCGGCGGTCGATCTGCGCGAATTTCGAGGGGGTACCACCAGCGGTAGTACTGCTGCTGGCGGAGCCCGAGCAGGGGGAAGCGGCGGAGGCAGCGGGAGCGGCGGAGGCGGCGGAGGAGGCGGAAGAAGAGGTGTACGCGGCTCGTGACCTGTTGTAAGCATCTTCGGCGGAAGGGGCGATGGTGGATTGAAATGCGGGCGTTTCGTAGAAGCAGTTGGATGGGCTCGACTGCGACAAGCGGTGGCACGGAGAAGTCGGCAAATGGACTCGAGGGCGGTTAGCGACGGTGGACGCCATTTCAAATGGCCAGGATGTTCTTGGGGCCTTGTGAAGCGAGAACTTTTGAGGCGCCTCAAAGGTGAAGCTAGGATGTTCTTCCGAGAGTCGGCTTCGAAATGACCGAAAAAACTTTTAAGGAAAAGCGTCCGCTGGGAAACTGAACCTTCCGATGCTCAGCTGGCTAGGGTCTACAGAACCCGACGGTTCGAAAGTCTACAAGATGGCGGTATCTTGATCCAGCACGAAGGGAAGTTAACAAGCGTCGCTGCTTTAGGGAGCGCGTCTGTCGCAGCAGTGAGGAAAATATCTAAGACTGCCAGCTTCTCTATGCGGAGGCAAGCGAGGAAAACGGTGGGAAATCCAACCTTTCGCTCTAGACACAGCTGTGCGAACAGCAAAAGTTGGGATGATCAAACTGGCCAGAACGATCAGCCCTGCTTTTGTGCTCCTCACTTGTCAGCCTCCCTATTTCTGCTGCTGCATTCTTGTGTGTGATGGTTCATTTCGTCTTCACGAAACCTATGTCTCTTTGGGGAATCCACAGTGCGATTCGGGGCCAGTTGGCTTGGCATGGTTGGGGTTGGGGTGGGGAGGAGAGCCGCAGAAAACCGTCTTGGGGGAACGGGTGCCAGCGAAGCAAGGCTGGCGGACAGCGGCAGCGGAGGGGAACAACCGAATGCAACGGCGCGAAAGATGTGGGAAGTGCTGTTTTCCCCAAGTCTGATTGTGGCAACGCTTCAAAATTGGGAAAACCCATAACATAAGAGCCGACAAGAGGAGTTGAGTGCTGGAGTTTGGTTGGATGTGGTTGCGTGTGTGTCGTGAGTGAGGCCTAGCGCTTCGCATTTGCAGTTTTCAATTCCTACTGGTGGCACTTGGTGCTTTGTGATCGAACAAAGATGGTCAGGGAACAACACGTATTACTAAGTGCCCTCGAAACACTCTTTAAGTAATTCGGCCATCTACGACTTATTTCCATTCTTCGCAGCGCTTTCCCAGTCGCATAATCTACCCTCGGTAACAGGGATGAACTGCCAATTGAAAAGATAACCAGCGGAACGAAGCTTCGTGAGGAGATTCTAGAAGCTAAGTACTGTAGCTTCGTAGTGGGTTGGTCTGGGTTCACTTTCCGTATAAAGTAGATTGTACACGTCACTCGTGCGTGTAAGTAACATAGATTTACAATACTTTCGGACAATCGTTGGATAAGACAAACACGGAAAATGGGGAAAACCCTTCAGATATCTACTGTGCACGATCCAATCTTCTGATTTCCGGACGTACAGTGCCCGTACCCCTTCTTTCACTTCCTCGTCTAGCAAAGCCGCCGCTTCCCGAGTTTTAACCGAAATGAAACAAGTTTAGCAAGGAGAAGAAATGTCTAACAAACTGTACACCCCCGCCCCTACCCCCACCTCGTTTTTTTTTTTACACGGTCAGTACATCAGACTTGCAATCCTCGAGGTGGGGGTGTTGACACTCACTGTTCACCGATGGTGGTCGGAACCGCTGACATCACGGCTGCCATTTGTTCGTGTTGTCTTGTCTGATCAAATGCTTGTAGATCAAGCTCTCGTTTGCAACGCACTACACTGGATTCGTTTTGACTTACACCAACTTACTTTGCAGAGGAACTTATTAAAAAATACATCTAAATCTAATCATCTATCAATCCTTGTGAAGCTTTGCTTCTGTTTCCCGGTGGCGCAAAATGTACCATCGCGCATACAGCTGCAGGCATAAGGCTAGATGAGCTTTTACCAGTGCGAGCACCAAAACAGTACCTATAACAACTACTGGCGTAATGCAACGAGAGAGCAACGGGTGGCCATCGGGAATAAACAATGCAATTAATGGAGTGGCAAATCGAATAACCTGGTGTTAAATCCCCATGAGGATACGGGGGGGGGGGGGGGGGGGGGGGGGGGGGGGGGGGGGGGGGGGGGGGGGAGAGAGGGGGGTGGACACCATGAAGCGAGGGTATGATGAGTGGGGATGGGGAGGGGGGAAGAAACATGGAAGGGGATTTTGAAGAATTGGTACCGTAGGTTTGCAAGTGTACATTTAATTATGGTTTGAATGTTAAAAATAGTAGGTGGGCAGTGAGGCACGTGGCTCGTGCTGCGGTGCAGGAGGTGGCAGCAGGCACTGCCAAAGTACCCATCATCACCAAACCACACCCATAACAACCCATCTCCCCCTCTCTCCCCTATCCCACAACCCCCCGAACTCACAACGCATGCGGGCAGAGGAGGGACAAGGCTCATGGTGCGGTGCACTGTGGTGGCAACAGTCACTCACTCACAATGTACCCATCATCACCGCACCACACCATTTCCAACCCATCCCTCGCTTTCCCCCCCTCCCTTCCCCTTCAACTCACACTGCACGCGGGCCCAAGATGAATGGAGCTTATGGTGCGGTGCACATGGTGGGAGCAGACAATCACAATGTACCCATCATCACCGCACCACACCGTACCCCACCCATCACACCCGCCCCCGCACCTCCCTTACCCTGGCCTGGCCCCGACTCACATTGCATGCGGGCCCAAGAAGGACAAAGCTCATGGTGCGGTGCATGTGGCAGGTGGGAGCAAAGAATCACAATATACCCATCATCACCGCACTGCACCCACCATCACCCATCTCCCCCTCCCTTCCCCCGACTCACATTGCATGCGGGCCCAAGAAGGACAAAGCTCATGCTGCGGTAAACGTGGCGGGCGAGATCAAAGAATCACAATGCACCCATCATCACCGCACCACACCCACCACCCCCCCCTCCCACCCACCCCAACTCACATTGCATGCTGGCCCAAGAGGCACAAAGCTCATGGTGCGGTGCACGTGGCGGCAGCAAACAACCACAATGCACCCAAGATCACCGCACCACACCCACCATCACCCATCTCCCCCTCTATGCCCCCCAACTCACATTGCATGCGGGCCCAAGGGGAACGAAGCTCATGCTGCGATGCACGTGGTGACAGCGGTCCTCCAGAACCTGATGAGGTGAGGGGGGGAGCAAGTAGGCAAGGCGGGGGGAGGTGGGGAAGAGAGTGGTTTACATGTTGCTAGCGAGGCCCAAGGGGAACGAAGCTCATGGTGCGATGCACATGGTGACAGCGATCCTCCAGAACCTGAAGGAGGTGCGGGGAGGTGCGGGGAGGTGTGGGGAGGTGCGGGGAGGTGCGGGGAGGTGCGGGGAGGTGCGGGGAGGTGCGGGGAGAGCGCGGTTTACATGGTGACAGCGAGGCCGAAGAGGCACAAATCTCATGGTGCGATGCAATGGTGACAGCAATCTTCCAGAACATGGGGATGGGGTGGGGCCGTGGGGTGGGAGCAAGTGGGGGAAAGGGGAGAGGGTGAGGAGAGCGGAGTGTCATGAAATGCATCTTAAGAACGCCGTGGTGCACGTGCATGTGGTGACAGCTTTCCCTCCAGCTTTCCTCCAGGGCGTGACAAGGAGGGAGAGCAAATGGTGGTGGGGAGGGGAACCTCCAGTTTCAAGAGAAGGCGCGGAGTGGGCACGTTGCAGTGAACCGCCAGTGGCCCTCCCGCAGATCCTCCGTCTCAATCCTCCAGGAGCGGGGACGCGGCATACCTGTGTGCAGAGCGATTTACCTCTGTGCAAAGCGGTTCACCTGTCTGCAGAGCGAGAGCAGGAAGTCGGAGTAGGTTTCGGGCTTGATCTCGTTGAACTTAGCGAGAAAGGAGTGCTTGAGGTTGTCCACTAGCATTTCACACCCCCACACCGTGCAGACATTCTGCAAACACAAAAGATAGGCAGGGAGGCAGGGAGGCAGGGAGGCAGGGAGGCAGGGAAACAGGGAGGTAGGGAGGTACAAGCATCATAAAAGGAGTGCGTCAGATTGTCCACGAGCATTTGACATCAGTGCAGAAGCGCTGATGGTCACGAGGCTGAAGCGCCTTGGTGAACACATCAGCAGTGTTGGCCTCAGTGGCCACGTATGGTAATGGATATGGTAATGGTAGTAATGGTAATGGTAATGATAATGGTAATGATAATGGTAATGGTAATGGTAGTAATAATAGTAATGGTAATGATAATGGAGATGGTAATGGTAGTGGTAATGGTAATGGTAATGGTAATGATAATGGTAATGGTAATGGTAATGGGTAATGGGTAATGGTAATGGTAGTGATAATGGTAATGGTAATGGCAATGGTAATGGTAATGGTAATGGTAATGGTAGTGGTAATGGTAGTGGGAGTGGTAGTGGTAGAGGTAATGGTAATGGTAAGGGTAAAGGTTATGGTAATGGTAATGGTAATGGTAATCACAACCCCATTACCATTACCATGCAGGTTGTCGACCAGCATCTCACAGCCCCGCACTGTGCACACATGCACTGCACCGCACAGCACCCACTGCACTGCTCGCTCATACGCTGCACCGCCCGCTCATACACTGCCCCGCACTGCACCGCACGCAGATGTTGCGCGCATTGACTCACGACACCAAGCATCCGAAGCACAATAACACAAGGCATGGCACATGCATAGCAACCCACCCGAATGAAGAAGGAGAGAGAGGTGCCCTGCCCCTTCACCACGTTCTCCAGGTGCTGTTCAAGTGACTCACAAGCATGAGATGAGAGCACAAGGCATGGCACGTGTATAGCAACCCACCCGGATGAAGAAGGAGAGCGAGGTGCCCTGCCCCTTCACCACGTTCAGCAGATGGTGTTTGAGTGAGTCACAGTAACAGTTATTAAAAGCATGAGAGCACAAGGCATGGCGCGTGTATAGCAACCCACCCGGATGAAGAAGGAGAGCGAGGTGCCCTGCCCCTTCACCACGTTCTGAACCACCACGAAGAGGAGATGACACGAGAGATGAAACCGTTCCACCGTGTCTGAGAGGGTCCGAGATGAACAGGTGGTACAAAGAGAGATGATGAACCGAGGTGAAACGAGTAAAAAAAAAAAAAGAAACTGGACAAATGAAGAAGAGAAGATGAAGCAGCGCTGGCGCGAGCGTACTTTACATCTTTCTAGATTTATCTTGTGTGACTTAGTGTGTATGTTCTCTCGGCTGAAGCGCTTGAACACGTTCGACTTCACTTCAGCAAAGTTGTTCCAGACGAGGAGAGTGACGAGGATGTAGTTGTGCGAGTTGATGGCCACGTTGAGCGTGACGGCCTTTGTCAGCAGCACTCAACCAGACGCACTCACTCACCCAAGCAGGCGAGCTTGTGAATAATCTCCCGGCTGGAACGCTTGAATACGTTCGACTTGACTTCAGCAAAATTGTTTGAGACGAGGAGCGTGACGAGGATGTAGTTGTGCGAGTTGATCGCCACGTTGAGCGTGACGGCTTGGGTCAGCAGCACGAGTGGCAGCGCGTGCAGCAGGAAGCATGCCACTACGATTGCTGCTGCTGCTACAGCGTACAACACTCACCCAGACGCGCGAGCTTGTGAATGTTCTCCTGACTGAAGTGCTTAAAAACATTCGACTTGACCTCTGCAAAGTTATTCGAGACTAGCAGAGTGACCAGTATGTAGTTGTGCGAGTTGATCGCCACGTTGAGCGTGTGATGCTCACCAAAACACGCAAGCTCACCTAGACAGGCAAGCTTGTGAATGTTCTCCCGGCTGAAGCGCTTGAACACATTCGACTTCACTTCGGCAAAATTATTCGACACCAGGAGAGTGACCAGTATGTGGTTGTGCGAGTTGATGGCCACGTTGAGCGTCACGGCCTGAGTCAGCAGCACGAGCGCGTGCAGCAGGAAGCACGCCACTGCGATCGCCTCATCGATTATGAACCGCAGGGTTTCTGTTGGCAGGGATGCGGTAGCAGGCGCTGGTGGTGGTGTTGCTGCTGCTCCTGCTGTAGCAGCAGCGGCAACACGAGCCGCTGTATTGAGAGTCATCTGTAGCACGTCGCAACCCAGGCTCTGGCACAGCTTGTCCATCACCTGGTGGAAGGGGTGAATTATATGGTGGTGTGGGGTTGGGTGGGGTGGAGGTGGGTTGGGCGCCTGAGCAATGCACGTCGCACCCCAGGCTCTGGCACAGCTTGTCCATCACCTGAGAGAGGCCAGAAGGGGGTTTGGAGGGAAATGGAGGAGGCGGGCCATGGAGGAGGCGGGCAATGGAGGAGGCGGGCCATGGAGGAGGCGGGCCATGGAGGAGGCGGGCCATGGAGGAGGCGGGCCATGGAGGAGTGCACTTGATCCAGAGGTGCACTTAATCCAGGGGTGCACTTAATCCGGGGGGAGGGACATGGGGAAGGAGGCCTGTTATTGCCTTGCCTATACTATGCACGTCGCACCGAAAGCTCTGGCATAGCTTGTCCATCACCTGGGATGGGGTGGTGTGGGGTGATGTGGGGTGCGGTTGGGTGGGGTTGAGTCGGAGCCGCATACAGCCGCACAGAACCGCACACAACCCACCTCAAGGACATTGTAGATCACGACAAGCTTGAGAATGTTCTGCCCGCGGATCCAGAGGTATATGAGGCTGACGTCGGCCTCATAACCGCACACCGCCGCTCACAACCTCACATAGCCACACACAGCCATGCACAACCGCACACAACCGCTCTGGGCCACGCGCACAATCACAACTCACCTCGAGCACATTGTAGATGACGACTAGCTTGAGAATGTTCTGCCCGCGGATCCAGTGGGAGGCTGACGCCCACCTCATAACCGCACACCACCGCACACAACAGCACTCAACCGCACACAACCGCACACACTCATCTCACCTCGAGCACATTGTAGATGACCACTAGCTTGAGAATGTTCTGCCCGCGAATCCAGTGGTATATGAGGCTGACGTCAGCCTGCTGCAGCGCCAGCACACCGCACACGATGATGATGCCCTTGCCGACGTCAGCTATGTCGTCCACACCCAGTTGTAGCCGGCCCCTCCTGGCAAAAATAGCAGCACAGTACAGTACAATAAAGATCAAACGCAAGATTTTGTGATACGGAAGACACTCATTCGTTAAGAAACGTGTGCATATGCAGGAGGATGGGGAAACTATATGGGAAGAGGGCAGCATCATCATCTCACTCACCAGAGGGGTAGAAGCGCGCTTGAGCAGGAGGAGGAAGCGGATGGGGAGGATGGTTGCAGCGACGGAGCAAAAGATGAGCACTAGCAGCAGGAACAGGAACAGGAAGAGGAGCACAGGGCAAGAGCAGCTCACCAGGGTGCAAGGAGCAAGCGGAGCAGGAGGAGGAAGAGGCGGATAGGGAGGATGGCGAGGAGCGAGAGGAAGGAGTCTAGACACACGAGGTAGCCCATGATGATTAGCTGAGAGGGGGGGACGGTATAGAGAGAATGTGGATGTGAATCAACTGCGGACGTGGATGGATGAGGGGGAAGAGGACGTGGATACAGAGAGGAGCAATAGGAAGGAGTCGAGACACACAAGGTAGCCCATTATGATAAGCTGAGGGAGTGGTGTGGTGGGAGGGAGACGGGCAGGTTGAAAGAAGGGAAGAGAGTTGCGTGCATGCATTCAATGTGCATCCACAAAACGGCACAGTGCGTGGCGGATGTGTGCATTCAATGTGGCGTGGCGGGTGTGGCGGGGAGACCTCCCCTCCCCGCACATCCGCGACCTTGCCGCCTCCCTCTCCTCACTAAACTCAACCTTCGCACCGCCTTGCACCACTCTATACCACTCACCAGCTCACACCGCCACGGCACATTGAACATGGTGTTGTAGACCTTCTCTCTCCTCACGTCTGCGCCCTTTCCACCTTGTCTCCCTCCACACCGAACCCAACCTTCTCACCTCTTTACACCACTCTGAATCCCTCACCAGTTCACACCGCCATGGTACATTAAACATGGTGTTATAAACCTTCTCTCTCCTCACGTCCGCGCCCTTCCAGCCCTGTCCCTCCCCTCACCAAGTCAACCTTTCAACCACTTTACACCGCTCTGGGTTCCTCACCAGCTCACACCGCCATGGCACATTAAACATGGTGTTGTAAACCTTCTCTCTCCTCACGTCCGCGCCCTTGCCACCCTCCCTCGCCGCGCCGTCCCTCCCCACCACCTCCTTCCACAGATACGACAAGGGAGAACCATCCACCACAAGAGCTGGGGGGAAACGGGGAAGTGGAAGCAGAAAGGTGATATATTGATAGTGCGGGTGCCGAGGGGGGAGGGTGTAGGAGGGAGGTAAGAGCGGGGAGAGGGTGAGGTTAAAGAGAGGGCATGGGGTTGGGGGGAGAGGGTGAGGTTAAAGAGAGGGCATGGGGTTGGGGGGAGAGGGTGAGGTTAAAGAGAGGGCATGGGGTTGGGGGGAGAGGGTGAGGTTAAAGAGAGGGCATGGGGTTGGGGGGAGAGGGTGAGGTTAAAGAGAGGGCATGGGGTTGGGGGGAGAGGGTGAGGTTAAAGAGAGGGCATGGGGTTGGGGGGAGAGGGTGAGGTTAAAGTGAGGGCATGGGGTTGGGGGGAGAGGGTGAGGTTAAAGAGAGGGCATGGGGTTGGGGGGAGAGGGTGAGGTTAAAGAGAGGGCATGGGGTTGGGGGGAGAGGGTGAGGTTAAAGAGAGGGCATGGGGTTGGGGGGAGAGGGTGAGGTTAAAGAGAGGGCATGGGGTTGGGGGGAGAGGGTGAGGTTAAAGTGAGGGCATGGGGTTGGGGGGAGAGGGTGAGGTTAAAGTGAGGGCATGGGGTTGGGGGGAGAGGGTGAGGTTAAAGTGAGGGCATGGGGTTGGGGGGAGAGGGTGAGGTTAAAGTGAGGGCATGGGGTTGGGGGGAGAGGGTGAGGTTAAAGTGAGGGCATGGGGTTGGGGGGAGAGGGTGAGGTTAAAGTGAGGGCATGGGGTTGGGGGGAGAGGGTGAGGTTAAAGTGAGGGCATGGGGTTGGGGGGAGAGGGTGGGGTTAAAGTGAGGGCATGGGGTTGGGGGGAGAGGGTGGGGTTAAAGAGAGGGCATGGGGTTGGGGGGAGAGGGTGAGGTTAAAGTGAGGGCATGGGGTTGGGGGGAGAGGGTGAGGTTAAAGTGAGGGCATGGGGTTGGGGGGAGAGGGTGGGGTTAAAGTGAGGGCATGGGGTTGGGGGGAGAGGGTGAGGTTAAAGTGAGGGCATGGGGTTGGGGGGAGAGGGTGAGGTTAAAGTGAGGGCATGGGGTTGGGGGGAGAGGGTGGGGTTAAAGTGAGGGCATGGGGTTGGGGGGAGAGGGTGAGGTTAAAGTGAGGGCATGGGGTTGGGGGGAGAGGGTGGGGTTAAAGTGAGGGCATGGGGTTGGGGGGAGAGGGTGAGGTTAAAGAGAGGGCATGGGGTTGGGGGGAGAGGGTGAGGTTAAAGAGAGGGCATGGGGTTGGGGGGAGAGGGTGAGGTTAAAGTGAGGGCATGGGGTTGGGGGGAGAGGGTGAGGTTAAAGTGAGGGCATGGGGTTGGGGGGAGAGGGTGAGGTTAAAGTGAGGGCATGGGGTTGGGGGGAGAGGGTGGGGTTAAAGTGAGGGCATGGGGTTGGGGGGAGAGGGTGGGGTTAAAGAGAGGGCATGGGGTTGGGGGGAGAGGGTGAGGTTAAAGAGAGGGCATGGGGTTGGGGGGAGAGGGTGAGGTTAAAGTGAGGGCATGGGGTTGGGGGGAGAGGGTGAGGTTAAAGTGAGGGCATGGGGTTGGGGGGAGAGGGTGGGGTTAAAGTGAGGGCATGGGGTTGGGGGGAGAGGGTGGGGTTAAAGTGAGGGCATGGGGTTGGGGGGAGAGGGTGAGGTTAAAGTGAGGGCATGGGGTTGGGGGGAGAGGGTGAGGTTAAAGTGAGGGCATGGGGTTGGGGGGAGAGGGTGAGGTTAAAGTGAGGGCATGGGGTTGGGGGGAGAGGGTGAGGTTAAAGTGAGGGCATGGGGTTGGGGGGAGAGGGTGAGGTTAAAGTGAGGGCATGGGGTTGGGGGGAGAGGGTGAGGTTAAAGTGAGGGCATGGGGTTGGGGGGAGAGGGTGAGGTTAAAGTGAGGGCATGGGGTTGGGGGGAGAGGGTGAGGTTAAAGTGAGGGCATGGGGTTGGGGGGAGAGGGTGGGGTTAAAGTGAGGGCATGGGGTTGGGGGGAGAGGGTGAGGTTAAAGTGAGGGCATGGGGTTGGGGGGAGAGGGTGAGGTTAAAGTGAGGGCATGGGGTTGGGGGGAGAGGGTGAGGTTAAAGTGAGGGCATGGGGTTGGGGGGAGAGGGTGGGGTTAAAGTGAGGGCATGGGGTTGGGGGGAGAGGGTGGGGTTAAAGTGAGGGCATGGGGTTGGGGGGAGAGGGTGAGGTTAAAGTGAGGGCATGGGGTTGGGGGGAGAGGGTGAGGTTAAAGTGAGGGCATGGGGTTGGGGGGAGAGGGTGAGGTTAAAGTGAGGGCATGGGGTTGGGGGGAGAGGGTGAGGTTAAAGTGAGGGCATGGGGTTGGGGGGAGAGGGTGAGGTTAAAGTGAGGGCATGGGGTTGGGGGGAGAGGGTGAGGTTAAAGTGAGGGCATGGGGTTGGGGGGAGAGGGTGGGGTTAAAGAGAGGGCATGGGGTTGGGGGGAGAGGGTGGGGTTAAAGTGAGGGCATGGGGTTGGGGGGAGAGGGTGAGGTTAAAGTGAGGGCATGGGGTTGGGGGGAGAGGGTGAGGTTAAAGTGAGGGCATGGGGTTGGGGGGAGAGGGTGAGGTTAAAGTGAGGGCATGGGGTTGGGGGGAGAGGGTGGGGTTAAAGTGAGGGCATGGGGTTGGGGGGAGAGGGTGAGGTTAAAGTGAGGGCATGGGGTTGGGGGGAGAGGGTGGGGTTAAAGTGAGGGCATGGGGTTGGGGGGAGAGGGTGAGGTTAAAGTGAGGGCATGGGGTTGGGGGGAGAGGGTGAGGTTAAAGTGAGGGCATGGGGTTGGGGGGAGAGGGTGAGGTTAAAGTGAGGGCATGGGGTTGGGGGGAGAGGGTGAGGTTAAAGTGAGGGCATGGGGTTGGGGGGAGAGGGTGAGGTTAAAGAGAGG